ATCTCTATATAACAGACACCTGTGGCTACTGGTAAACTTACAGGCACCTCTATATAACGGACACCTGTGGATACTGGTATACTTATACTTAAAGACATCTATATAACGGACACCTATATAACGGACACCTGTGGATACTGGTATACTTACAGACATCTCTATGTAACGGACACCTGTGGCTACTGGTATACTAACATCTCTATATAACAGACACCTGTGGATACTGGTATACTTACGGACATCTCTATATAACGGACACCTGTGGATACTAGTATACTTACAGGCACCTCTATATGTCATAGATACAGACATCTCTATATAAGGGACACCTGTGGATACTGGTATACTTACATCTCTATATAAGGGACACCTGTGGATACTGGTATACTTAAAGACATCTCTATATAACGGACATCTGTGGATACTGGTAAACTTACAGAAATCTCTATATTACAGACACCTGTGGCTACTGGTATACTAACATCTCTATATAACAGACACCTGTGGATACTGGTATACTTAGAGACATCTCTGTATAACGGACACCTGTGGATACTGGTATACTTACAGATACCTCTATATAACGGACACCTGTGGATACTGGTATACTGACAGACATCTCTATATAACAGACACCTGTGGCTACTGGTATACTTACAGACATCTCTATATAACAGACACCTGTGGCTACTGGTAAACTTACAGGCACCTCTATATAACGGACACCTGTGGATACTGGTATACTTACATCTATATAAGGGGCACCTGTGGATACCGGTATACTTACAGACATCTCTATATAACGGACACCTGTGGATACTGGTATACTTACAGACATCTCTGTATAACGGACACCTGTGGATACTGGTTTACTTACAGACATCTCTATATAAACGGACACCTGTGGATACTGGTAAACTTACAGACATCTCTATATAAACGGACACCTGTGGATACTGGTAAACTTACAGACATCTCTATATAAACGGACACCTGTGGATACTGGTAAACTTACAGACATCTCTATATAACGGACACCTGTGGATACTGGTAAACTTACAGACATCTCTATATAAACGGACACCTGTGGATACTGGTAAACTTACAGACATCTCTATATACCGGACACCTGTGGATACTGGTATACTTACAGACATCTCTATATGTCATAGATACAGACATATCTATATAATGGACACCTATGATCTATACAAAAACTTCTACATAATTGACAGGAACATCTGTGATTACCTTCATATGACGGACATTGGTGGTAACGTATAAAAACATGTCTATTTAAGGAAAATTTTATACGCGTGCAAGAAAAAAAAACTTAGTTAATTGTGTACGATAACTGATACATTGTGTAGACCATGGTTGTCCATCAAGCTTACATTTGTTTTAAAAAGGGTATTGGTTGGTTACCTGTTCTTTCCTCGGCCGCCCTCTCCCTGGCATGTTGGTGTGTATGTATGTAGTTTTGGTGTGGAGTAAGGCCTTCACAACAGCTCTCTGAATCAGGAGACAAACAATGCTGCACAGTATAGCTCCCATTAAACCAAGGTGTTTCACCTGCGCCAAAGTTGACTCCGCGACCATGTGCTGAGATCAACTCATTCGCTAATAGTCACAGGTAGCGCTAGTCAGCCGGCGCGGTACGATCACCTGGTCAAGTATTGCCGTCCACTAGTCCTGTACTCTCTTCCCATTCAAAGAAGGTTATTGACAACATTTACCAGAACAAATACAACACGTTGATGCTAATCATGTCAAGTTAATGGCCATTTCGATGACCTCAGAAAGACGAAGCTCGACATATTAAAAAATCGTACTAAGACCGAGAATGGACTAATGAGTTCCGAATATTTCTATAAATATTCTGCTATTGAGCAACCACAAGGAACTAGAATAAGCTAATTTGTCCGGGTAGAGGATTTGCTTTGATATTTCATTTCAACAATTTTATTGACAAAAAAAATGTAATATAAATTTAGTCAATAGTATTGAACAACAGGTAGAGCCTATGCAAGTTCTCTCCGGAGGTGACTACAGTGAAGAAGTAGATATATAAAGGGAGATAACTCGTACATAAATACAAACATTTTTACATTATTATTAGATTATTAGACTATATTATTTGAGCTATCATCATGATACCATATAGTTATTGGCAGACATTGACTAAAATGTTTTGATATAGAATGTTAATTTTATTTTTTTAATTCTTTAATATACTGGAAACTACCATAACTTTTGACCATTTGGAGAAGCAAAATTAAATTTGATCGAACTGACCTTAATTCAAAATTCATGGAAATGTATACCTTTGTATTGACTTTGGCCTGGATGGCACGAGACGGCCTTCGTATGTTGTGCATTGACGTAGCCACCAGTTACTACGGTATGACCTTGTCTAAAAATGACTGGTTATTAACGGGACGATTTTCAAACGAAAACGCCAAGCTACGGCCTATCTCTTAACATTACATTATGTTACATTTAGGGAATTTGGTTGAGAACTAACTGACCTTGACGAAGTTTAAACAAACCGAAAACCAGCATCACCGTGATGTTTTGTTGGCATTGACCTTTGGATCTAGCTAAACCACACTACAATGTTAGTTTACTAAAACTTGTCATTAGTGTGGTGTCTTATTGACCACTTCAATTGAAGGACATTTAAATGACCTAGTTTACCAAACCTTTACATCAGCAATTAAAAAAAAATCGAATCATATTTTTTTAATAATTTTCATTCATCATATCTTTTTATTGCAGATATATCAGATATATTTTTATTCTTATACAAATAAGTTTTTATAAAATAACAAAATTAACTACTTTGAATGTTATTTTTTGTCTGATACCAAGATATTTTTAAATATAAAAATAACGTCTATCGAACACAGTTGTAATGGATTATATTAAAAAAAATCGAACACAAATGATTTTTTCTCCAGTACAATAATACTTTTCGAGAGAATACATACTAATATACTGTATCTTTTCCCGGCAAATGCAAATATATTTTGTTATCGAATATGAAAATATTTTCAATACAAAATATGTATTTTACCAATACAGATATAATTATTGGAATTAAATTAAATCAATACAAACAAAATAAAAAAAAAGTAGATAAGATTAATCAATAAAACAACATTAAATTTTGCAACATTTGGCACGCCTTTGTTTATCAGGGTTTTTGTCAACTGCCTGCATTAAGCAGTTCTTTAAAGGGTCTCACAATGAACATATGACCTATAAAGTATAGAATAAGGAAATGGAGACCGTAGGAGAAGCTCGAGTGAATGCCTTTAAAGTTAGCGCAAATGACTGACTTTGATATAAAAACAATAAGAAAATGCCAACATGTTAACATAGTCATATTCCAAACTCAAATATAATAAAACTAGGGCAAAATATGAACAAAAGTAAGATTTACACGGAGACTCCTGGACAAGTACAATGAGAATAAGAGCGTCTTCTGCAGCATCGTCGACACTCGCCATGTGAACCTTGGTCAATCCAAGTGGACAAAGTCACGTTCCCAAATGAGAACAAGGTATACAACAACGGACCAACAAACACATCCTAGCTTCATACCACACAAAGAAATAGAATATTTCTCAATGAAATCCCTATGACAACCGTAAAACGTCCCCATTATTTCCATCAACCTTTATCTTTTGAAACCTGTGTTATGAGTTTGTCGATTTCTTGCCTGAAAATCATGACAATGGGAGCAGGCTTTGAATATTGAATCAACTGCGATATGCAAACGCCACAAGTTTGGGACGCAGTAATATTGCTATCCAGAATTTGAAAATTCACAATAGAAAAAATGTTATCATCACGTTTATCACACAGCGTTGTAGGAAAAGATCAAGATAAGCGGCTGATGTAGAAGAGTGTATCTTGTCATTCATTACCAATTCTAGTGTTATTTTAAGACAACTCAAGACGTCATCAATATATCTTAAAGTGAAATCAAACACCTTTGCAAAGTCTTTTGATAAGCCAACCAACAGAGGCACAGTTAATTCCCATAGCTATGCCGAAAGTCTGTTGGAAGATGTGGAGAATATAAAATACATTTCAGAAGAGAGTGTTGAAAGAGTAGTCCAAAGCTCTTTGGAGTTTTTTTTAATCTACACACTATACTTCTTGAGTAAACAGTATCACAATAAGACTGTTATCCAGATTTGTTAGTGCCAAAAATGAGCAGTTTTGACAAAGGGTTGGTTGACCAGCTAGATAAGCCAGCAATAAAATTATGTTTATATGGATCCTTGTGAAGATGAGGAATCCAATATGAGCATGGGAGGTCCCTATTCTTATCATTAACAGCCAGTCTAAATCATGATTAGCCAGTTTGACAACATTACCGGCCTGTAGTTCAAATTTTTGAAAATCATCCAACAAGGTTTTCTAAATAACATCTTTTGTGAAAGATCCTGGGCCTTTTGATCTAAAAGATATCATTGATTATTTGAACAACTTCAAACCATGTGACCTTCAAAGTTGGAGGTCAATCGTTTTGACAAAATGGTAGCCCATCATAGTACCCAGAATTTTTTTTTTATTGAGAAGATTTTGAATAGTTTAACTTGTGACCTTGAAAGTACAATAAAGTCATTGTCCGAGTTTTGATGTTTTTTTTTCTGTTTGAAAATCTATCCAGTGACCTAAATTGAAATCCATAAAAGCATGTATAACCCTCTTAATGGAGTATTAAGTACAGAATTGACATGACTGTTACAAATCTTCTCACAAAATTTTATCTCCATAAGCTAATATATGAGGTGAGCGATACACACCCATGCCAATAGATAATTAGCTGAAATTGGTATATGGCCTTTGTAATATTAAGTCTGTACAGTATATTTTCTTACTTTTTACATAATTTCGTTTTTATCATACATATGAGTGTGACTGTGAAATAAGGGTTAAGAATATATGTTATATGCAAAGGGGTAATAAATACAACAAACATTGAAATCATTTAGGTTGCTTTAATGTTTGTCTTCAGTTCAATCACAGTAAAATGAGATGATAAAACTACATTTAATACAAGGAACATACCAGTCAATTGTCATGCATCTCATCCTTTTACATGTAAATCATTAGTATAAGTTGTTTAAATGTTTTAACAAATTAGACCCCTGTGACCTTGAACATTTCCTTAACAAACTTTGTCAGGCTTCATCCAAGGAACATAATAGCCAAATATCAACCATTGGTTATTGAGAAGAAGCTGTTTAAAGTAAAAAGTTGATGCTGAACGACAGACAGACGTTGCACCATGGTATATTCCTTAATCTGTATGGTTATGATTTTGCTGCCAAGTTATACATGATAGATTTGTTTGCAGTGAAAACGTGTGCTGCAGACTTTCAAATCACATACATGTACAATAAAACCTGTTCTTCAGGACACCATATACCAATAATATATAGCTAGGTATAAAATCATCAACTTGTTTATCCCACCATGGTGCGCTTTCTTCCCCTCATTCTAACCTCTTCTAGTTTGCTCAGGACTTCATTTGCTCCATCTTTGTTAGTGACACAATAAGCATTGAGTATAACTTGAAACAATCGCTCTGTGTTGGGATGTGTACTCAGCAAGGCTCGTTCTAACACATATAAATCCACACCTTTGTCCTCTGGCATATTCTCAAAATGGCTCAAGCCGAAGTCTATCATAACAATATTGAAAGATGAAGGTTGCCCCTTAATCAGCATATTGGAAGAGGTCAGGTCACCATGAATAATATTATTTTTGTGCATGACACCTAAGATTTCACCAATTTTCTTTCCCAGAGGTTCAAGGACAGTCATTGCTGAATTGATATCAGGAATTTCCTCCTGAATGTTCATGATATAATCTCGGACTGTTTGAGAATCCTGAACCTCCTCCATGTAGATACTGCTGTTGACCATGTCCACAAAATAAACTGTTGGTGTGAATATGCCTGCAAAATATTTCAAGGAAGTCTTGAGTGATACATACTGCATGATTATTGATGTGATCTTTTGCTTTCATCAAGAAAAAAATATGACCACAAATTTACATTTAAATTCTGCAGCAACTATATGTTTTGTATTCTTCATGTTTCATTAGCCCAAAATTATTAGTTTCAAATTGACTGCCGACAAATAATTTTTGATAACTTTTTTTCCATATCTATAACCCAAAATATATGTATGAATATAAATCTTTATATCATTTGCAACTGAAATGCCGCCATATATTGTGTACCGCTTCCAACCCCAAACACGAAGAAAATCACATTTGACCTATCTAGTCTATTCTATTTGCCCTATATAAAAAAAAGTAAGTGTCCCTGTGTATACATGAACAGTCGTATTTTGTTGGGCCATGCTTATCATAACTGTCTCGAATAGATACAGAAACAGGGAACGCCTAAATACGAAAAGTAAGGTGATAATCTACCACACATTCGGCTTCGGAGCATCGCCCGCACTTCAGATTTCATTCGTTGTGCCGTCAGTGACGCATCGAGAGCTGGGTGTCTATATGTTTTCTTAAAACGTTCTTTAACGATACACGGTCTACCATAGAAATTGAATTTGAACAATTTAGCTTCAGCGCCCTGTTTCATCAAAGTTCTTTCAACATCCATTTTCAATTTGCGTTTACTATGGTTAATCTAGAACTGGTCTGTTTATGATGTAGGCCGGTCTTATAAAATACAAGGTCGCTTACAGCGTCGGAAATAAATATAAAGAGTGAATGCCGTTGGTTTTTTCATCAATATTTCGATTTCTAACGTGTTGAACAAAATCGTTTTCCATCAAACATTCATAATGAAGTAATATATAAAGACATCGCGAGTTATATTGACACTTAGCTTATTTTCAATGACATAAGAGATGATCTTTAATTGCTTTCACTTCGGGCCAACTAAACATAAGGCCTACCGGCATTCAAGGCCTGCGTCGTCAATACCGACCGACCGACCGGCATTATGTTGAAATTTTTGGTAAGTTATTGCGATGTGTGATACATATCCATATTTCAATTAATTTAATTTGTTTTTGATTTCAGAATATTTTATTGTCTTGGTGGTATTGACAATAGGAATTGGGCAACAGGCAGAGCCTATGAAAGCCCTCTCCTTACAGTGCATGAACAAGTATACTTACTTACTTAGAGTTACTTAGAGTAGTTTTCTGGTACAGGTCCTTTAATGACCTCTTCACCAGACTCGATGTGTATTCCCTGCCCTCTTCTATTCGCGTCAATTCCTAGTGTTGCTTTGAAATCATATAAAATATATTGATTTTCCCAATACTTGTCCAGTCTATTTTTAAAAGTGTTCTTTGTTGGTGCACTGACAACATTCTCAGGTAAGTTGTTCCATACGTTGACAGATTTAACAGTGAAGTAATTTTTTCTCAAGTCCGATTTGGTGTGTTGTGGTTAAATTTTTAAAGAATTCCCTCTTGTTCCATGATGTGCCGCAGTATCCTTCCATAATGCTACAAAATTACTTGCTTCAGGATCGTAATGACTGTGGATTACCTTGTACAGCTCGATCATGTCTCCCCGTAGTCTCCTGTCTGATAATGTAGGTAATTTAAGTTTTTTCAGTCTTTCTGAATAGCTCAACTCCTTGAATCCTGGCAACTGTTTTGTTGCCCTTCTTTGTACCCCTTCTAGCTTCTCAATGTGTTTCATTTTATATGGTGATCACACAGGACTGGCAAAGTCTAAGTGAGTTCTTACTAAGGTCTTGTATAACGGAGTAAAAGAATCTGCATTCAAATATTGGAAAGATCTTCTAAGGAGTGCAAACATAGAATTTGCTTTATTTGCTTTTTCACATATATGTCTTTCGAAGTTTAAGTTATTATCTATGACTACTCCAATGTCTTTTTCTGTTTCTACTGTCTGTAACGATTTTCCTTTTAGTGTGCATATAGTTTCATGATCAGCAAGCTGAGATTTTTTACATATGTGCATATGTTTACACTTGTCTGGATGAAATCTCAAAAGCCAGGTGTCGCTCCACTGGGACATTGTGTCTAGGTCCTTCTGTAGAACGGTATTGTCATCCTTGTCTGTAATGATTCTGAATATTTTTGTATCGTCTGCAAACAGGTAAATGTCTGATTTCACAATTTCTGGTAGATCATTTATAAATATAACAAATAATGTCGGGCCCAACACTGATCCCTGTGGTATGCCAGATGTAACATCAGTCCAGTCTGAATTTTCACCATTTATTGATACTCTTTGTTTTCTATTGTATAAGAATTCTTTTGTCCATCTCAGTAAGTTTGTGTGAATTCCATAAGATTGTAACTTACTCAGTAGTCTTTTATGTGGCACAGCATCGAATGCTTTCTGATAATCCATGTACACACAGTCTACTGGGTATCCATTATCTAATGCATGTGTCCATTTGTTTAGAACTTCTAGTAGCTGGAGTGTGGTGGATCTACCAGATATAAAACCGTATTGTTTATCTGAGAATAATTCATTCTTTTTCATATGAGATATTATGTGGTCACGAACTAAAGATTCCATTACCTTACATATAACTGAGGTTAAGCTTACTGGGCGGTAGTTTCCAGCTTGACGTTTATCTCCCTTTTTATAGATATCACTTATATAAGCTCATTTCCAGTCCTCAGGTACTTTCCCTTCCTTTAGTGATTGATTGAATAATGTGACTAGTGGGATGTACATATTTTCTGCTGTTTCTTTAAGCATGCGTGGATGCATTCCATCTAGGCCAGGAGATTTGTCAATCTTCAATTTTTCTAGTTTCAGTTTGATGTCATTTCCTTGTATGAGTAATTCTGTCATTTTATTCTGAATGTTCTTGTCTGGAATTTCAGGCATCTCTCCGGTTTCTTCTTTAACAAATACACTATGGAAAAAACTTGCCAACACATTAGCTTTCACTTTATCATCATCTGTTGTTTGTGAATTACTGTCTGTGTAATCTGTGTATAGATCCCCTACTCCTTCCTTGGATTTACCTTTTGACTTGATATAATTCCATACAGCTTTAGGGTTGTCTTTGGTAATTCCGTAATTCCTATTATATGTGGTGGTGATTCTCTGATTCTATCTTCCAATTCATTCATTTTATTCATTAACTGATCCGCATTTGTGTATATACAACTGATTTTATCAAAAATAACAAAAGAACTTGAATTTTTTAACAATTAACTTTTCAACAATAACGAACTATTTACATTGATATCTATCTCATGTGAGTCTTCTATTCTTGCGCCGGAATTTTTATTAACCTCTTTGCCTGCTGTAGTTTTTCCGTTTTATTTATTGGATTTCGATAAATAAATACTCTCAAAGTCAATATCAAACTTGGGGGGCCTCTTACAATATTTTTTGTAGCGAACTTCCCCCGAAGACTGTGACTCTCTTCTCTTTGCTTCCTCCCATAGTTTTTTTTCTTTCTCCCTCTCTGTTCTAGTTAGGTCATTGGAGATCCTGACTGACTTATATTCTTCCTCTGATTTCAGATTCCTTGCATTTTTGAAAATCTCACCTTTCAGTTCCTGGTTGTTGAGTGATACTAGCATAGGTCTTCCTTTAGTTTTCTGCTTGTTCTCTTCATTTACGTTGGCCTTATATTTCCCTAGTCTGATTGCTTTTGTAATAAATACATGATGCTGTTTCTTTGGGTTTCAGCCCACAGATTTTCAATATATTTTTGGCTTTATTCATGTCATGTGTTTTCCTCTTCTCTCTATCTGCAGAATCCACCTCATCAATTCCATACATCACTATGTTGTTTTCACGTGCCCTTCTCTCGTTTATTTCTCCTAGAACTGTATCCAATGTCTGTTTTTGTTCCTTCTCTGCACTTTCAAGTGTTGCCACTTCACTCTCCTCTTTGCTTTCTATTTGTACTTTTTCAGTGAATTTGTTCATCTCATTTTTTACGCTTTCCTGCACTTTCTCTTCGTCACATTTCAAATTTATCATAGATTCTAATGATACTAGTCTGTTATCAAACTCTCTCATCATTTCTTCACACTTCTCCTCGATCTTTCTTTCTATGATTATATTCTTTTCTACTGCTTCTTTGCACTTACCGTAAAACCACATAGCATCAGATGATTGGAGAAACCTGTACTCCCTCGCTCTTGTTTAAGCATGCGATGCAGTAGTGTAACCTACATTTTTGACATTCCAGCATTTTTTCGTCAGGATTATCGAAGACACATCAATCAAAATTAAAGATAACAGATAATAATAATATTAGGAAGAAGAATGTAGAAGATAGATTCAAATGGATGATTATATAACAGAAATGCAAAATAGGCATCACCATCATTTGTATTATTGAGTTCCAGAGCAGTAACATAAACTAAAAAGTACAATTAGGTATCACAAGATATTACAAGACTGGGTCAAAATATGTCCATTTGTGGTGGGACAGGCTGCAGGTTCAAACAGTCCATTCGCACACAATCCTGAGCTGAGTCCCTAGAATGGACAGGCGGACCCACACTTGAGACATCAAATACAAATGAAAGATAGAAAAGATAGAAGTATAGAATGGGATGTACATTTGCTAAAACAGGCGACCAGTGTCAGTTATGAATCTCTGAACTATATCAAGAAGAAATTTATTCATGTTTGCATCAAGTATAGGAGAACCTTTAAGAAATGTATCAATTGTAGGAGGTATAGAATCACTAAGGCCAGAAAGGGAATTAAAGAGGAGTTGCCTCTGGTTAGTGAAGAAGGGACAGTGGAAAAAGAAGTGAGTACAATCTTCAACTGGATGGCCACAGTTACAGGCAGGGTTATCTTTAAGGTGGGAATTGAATAAATCAAAATTCAGATTACTTGCAGAGTTTCTTAGTTGACATAAAATTATGTTAGCTTTTCTTTGTCCTTTATATTTGAAAGTATCTTTACAGTGGAAAGGAGGAATGGTAGCTTGCTGTGATAAAAAAGTTTTTTTAATCGCATAAATAGAAGTTAATGAGGGATACAGACAAGATGGGCCATTCCATTCATTCATGAGTTTTGGAAAGAAGCTAGTGCTATATTGACAAGTTCTTGTATGGGCATTTAATTTGTTTACCTGAATATTATGTAACCTATGCCCTCTACTGAACGGATACATGCATCTACCTGTGCTATAGACATGCAGCATTCACCGCAACTTGATAGTATCTTGTTTCAGTGAAAGTAGTGTCACATTAAAGTAGCAAGAGAAGGCCAAATTATGTGTAACAATTTAATCCGGAAATACTCAAGGGCAATGTAACGGAGGTCATTATTAATTTCAATGCCTCAGCTAGGACTCGAACTTGGGATATATGACTAACTAGTCTGACTCTCAACTGATCGAGCTAAAGGGAAGCTTTATTTTATTTTAACGAGTTTTACGTTCACTATTACGACCTTTCGGTGTTTCAGCGGACGAGAAAAGATAGGAAAAAGAGTAGGGGGGATAGGAAGTGATGGGAGAGAGTGGGACATAGACTAAAGTGATGAGAAGCATACAAAAAGAGGTTTATATGGCGGATGTCCTGGATGAAGTAGAATACGCTTACTCTGCAGAATATTACAGGTCATACAAAAAAAATATTCCCAAAACGAACCATAAATATGCTCAGGGAAAACCATTATTCAATCAAAACTGTATCAATTTGGAATGGTCTGCCAGAAAACATTGTTTTAGCAGTAAATGTAAAAACATTTAAAAATAGGCCTGATAATCACTGGAAAAACCAAGAACTTTTCTTTAATTACAAAGTAACAAAAGAATATTGACATCAAAATACAAGACCAGATAGATGTATTTTTTTTGAAAATTATTTATTATTTGTTGTTTAGGAGTCTGGTATGGAAGACTTTGATAAAGTCCTGCACTAGAATAAACTTATCTTATCTTAACACCTGGTCTTATTCTCCTATTAATTTTTCAGGAGTCTCAGTGGAAATTTTTCTTTTTTCATATTTTGCCCTTCATAAATGGAATTCAAGTTTGAATTATGATTATGTTGCCATGATAATATTTTCTTGATATTTTTTTACAACAAATAATGTTAGCATCATACATAGAAACTTATATATTACTCACACACAAAAGAAAAAAAAGTTGACAAAACATATCAAAAGCTGAATGCAATTTAGAATGGAGTTACAACAATTGCGGTAGTAACGGATGTTACACTGGGCATTCATTTTGAATTTTTAGTTATGTCCAGGATCCATTGTCTGCCGGGTGTTGTTATACAATGTAGTTGCTATTTTCCCTCTTTAATTTATTGTATCCCCAACAGCTTCAGTCTGCTAGCTCTTTCCATCTGTAGACTTTATATGATTCTCTAGATACCTTGTTTGCTTCTTAGTGTGCTGGGATGGTATATTTGATGAGAGTGTCACACACCATAAAAATATAAAGGTACACCAGATATATACTTATGTATGTAATTATATACTTATGTATGTAATTAATGTACAGCCTAATCAGACTTTTGATTTTCTATAGTAATTTTTTTTTACTAATGTCATATTTTGCAAGAGGTGTAATAATTATGTACATTTGTGTAGCTGTCTCATCTGTTAATGTTATATTTTATCATCACCACTTCGTATTTGAGGTAACTGGAAGTGTAGATCAACAATCAATATCATACAGACCAATCATGACAGTTTCAGGTATAAGAATAAATGCAAGATAACACATTTTATTTTAAACCAAAAGGGTCAGGATGACCTATATGTGTTTTGTCCATCTTTGTGCGCCATCCATGAACTTTTTACATTTTAAATTTCTTCTCAGTTCCATTTGTGGGACTGAGCTAAAGCTTACCTGAAATGATCCTGGTGTTATTATTTCGAGATATAATAAAAAATGAAATAAAAAAATTACTGCCATCTTGAAAAACACATTTTAAAATTCTCAAGTTCAGCCATTTTGTTTTTCTGATCTGTACCAAAATCAAAATAGTACAACTTGGGGCCAAGGGCATCCACACAGTGCTTCCCCAGAATTAATGGAAAAGAACAGTTAAAATCTTTTGTCTCTTTTGTTTATCTTCAGTGATCATTTTGAAATGAAGTAGCTGGTGGCTATCTCAAGGAACAAGATACAGGAGGCTCACTGCATGCCATCCAGTTGGGAAGTGCCTTACTCAACACAGACTGTTCCATTTCTCACCTTCCTTAGTGACTAAGGAAGAAACTTACATATGAAATTTTGGAAACAATCCCACCATTTTTTCTGTAAAAATAGCATTAAAAATTGTTTAAGGATGGATATAGACATGAGATGATTTGAATATCCTACCATCTGATGATGGCAGGCTATGGAACTGTAGGACAATGATAAATTCCCCTTAGTCAAGAAATGTGTATAATGTGCCTTACTTGTGAAACACTGGTTCTGTTTTCAGATATGCATGACTTATTCTTGGATTTCTTTTCAAGAATAATTTCTGTTAGTTTCTCTATATAATTTTTCACATATTATGGATATGAAGGGAATTTAAGATGATTTAAATCTTTATAAACTTCGTCACAATGTTTGTAGGTCAAAGGCAAATAAAGTGAAAAAAAAATTAACTGGTAAATACTTTGTCATGACATTTTGAAATGATGTTTTAATGGGATTAAATGAGGATTTATCAAGATGCATTGTCTAGATTCAAATTGGATAAATGTCATGGTGAATCATTACATCCTGAATAACTGGGAAATATCAAGTAATGACATTATAAAGCAAAGCTGTAAGGAATCCTTGTAATCAACATGACAGAAAGTCAATGTCACTTGGTTACCAGGTCAAAGTTCAAGGTTAAATATTATTTCTTGATAGGTTATATCAATATATTTTGATAACATGAAGTGAAGGTAACTACCAGGTAAATCAAAAGTCACTTGACCACAAATGATCGCAGCAAGATCCCTCTGGGACCTCTAGCTCATTACATGACTTCTTGTACATTTAAACGATTTATGTGACAGATAGTCAAAAACCATTTTGTATTTCTTTACAGTTAACATTTGCCACTGGGCTCTATGCTGGAATATACATTGACCAGAATTACAAGGTAATTGTGCTAACACAAGTTTGTAAATGTATAGATACTTCTCAGGAAAGTATTATATGCAGCAGTAATTTCTCCCATCGTCGTAAATGTATACAGTTTGATGGCCAGTTTGGTTGAGGTAAAATTTAGTTATTGGATCACCCACCAGACGCTTTATATGTAATTTGGTTTCTACTGGCATTTGAACCCCTTGCAAGCTTCCATCTGGTTCAGCAAGAGTGTTTGATAAAACTTCATCTGTAATTTTTGTAAAGTAAATTACATGAATGTTTCAAGATTTCAAAAGGTGTTGTATAATTGGATTATATTAAGTAGTGTCATATATCATTTGATTGTTTGATAGTTGTTGTATTTTTACAGTGTATCAGTGAACAAACATGGTGTTGTGTACTAGATCATTGTATACATGTAGAGTTAACAAGGTATCAATTATCATATACTTTTCTCTGGTTTTGTTTTCAATAGTTGCCCAATGTGTCTGACCCCAAAAGTCTTTATGAAGAAGTAATGAAGATGATTCAAAAATTTGAGAAAGGTGACAAGGGAGACAAGTAGAAGAAAAGGATATGATATAGACAACACATCAACATTCCCTACCAAATCAGACTGAGCTTTGTGTTTGTGTTTTACCAGAGAGATTATTTTTATACTTTATATATATCGAACATGGCAGGTTTGATGAAGACTAGTACAGTTAACACATTGGACTCAAAGGTTTCTTGTAAGTCACACATTTTCTGTCAAGGACTTGAAGGTCTGCAATGAGTACCTTCATACTGATTTACATGTAAATGTGACACAACATGGCAATAAGTGAAAGTTGCTGTAAATGACATATCACACCAACAACTGACAGAGTTAATGTGTATTGAACTAGTGTATGCAGCATTTTGTAAATGTGAGTTGTTTATGTATTTATTTTCAAAGATATGTTTTTTTCCTTTTTCTGGTATGAAATATATAGATTGAATGATCTGCATACCAATATATCTTAACAGCTGTACGGCAAAAGGTCAAATTTAATCAGTTTTGGCCAGGAATAAATGAAAATTTGTCATTTATGTATGCTGAAGACATTTTTATTTTTTGTATGGGTGAGGTTGACTAGTTGCTAAAGACATGTATGCTGTTACCTTACACTGTGGAATGAGAACCCAGACCGATTCATCTGTAAATCATTTAGCCTAGTAAGTCATCAAAATTCAAAGGGAAAAGAAATGGTCAAGCAATGGTTAACAATTTATATAGAATTAATGATCCGACAGAATATGATCATATGATAGAAAGATATTATTATTTGCATAATATAACAAGAAATGAATACCACAAAGCTGTTCATATGTCATATTTAAAAACTGATGGAAATTGTAACAACAAAATTTAAATATGCGAATATGTATCAGTATAAAATGAATGCATCTTTTATGGATAGATGGCTATCTTCATTTAATACTTGTTGCATGTGTAGCTCTTTGATGAAAATGTAAATAAAAACTTAACACAAAACTTGTGTGGTGTGTTTCTTGTGTTATGATTCCAGTTGTGCTAACGTTATACAAATATAATGCTATATAAATAACAGTTCCTGTGTAAGAACAGTGTTTCGGCCACTCATCCTGGTCTCAAAACTTGTAAATACTCCAATTCATTTTAAGTTCAAAAGTTCACATACTTGAGGACAAATTCGTTGTTGGAAATCTTATCTTGAAACAGACTGGGTATGATGATTCAAAAGATATCTAGTTGACTTCTAATTTTAAATTTATATCAGACACATTTATATAAGATTTCTCAATAATAAGAAGGCCCACGATCTAAACATTAGGCCAGCAAACTGGTGAAATGAAGATTGTTGAAATGAATCCCTTCACCCACTTCAGTCTGAGGGGTCGATTGTTAAGATCTTAAATGATTTGTCAATAACTGAAATTGTTTACAGAGCATAAACATGATTATTGATGGAACTTAGAAACCCAAAAGAAGGAAAGACCCAAGGACACGAAAGAACAGTGTCATGCTTTCCTGATGTGATAAGACAGTGTCATGCTTGGTGGATGTGATAAGACAGTGTCGTGCTTGGTGGATGTTATAAGACAGTGGCATGCTTGGAAGATGTGATAAGACAGTGGTATGCTTGGTGGATGTGATAAGACAGTGGCATGCTTGGAGGATGTGATAAGACAGTGGTATGCTTGGTGGATGTGATAAGACAGTGGCATGCTTGGTGGATGTGATAAGACAGTGGTATGCTTGGAGGATGTTAAAAGACAGTGGCATGCTTGGTGGATGTGATAAGACAGTGGTATGCTTGTAGGATGTGATAAGACAGTGGCATGCTTGGAGGATGTTATAAGACAGTGGCATGCTTGGAAGATATTATAAGACAGTGGCATGCTTGGAGGATGTTATAAGACAGTGGCATGCTTGGAGGATGTGACAAGACAGTGGTATGCTTGGAGGATGTTATAAGACAGTGGCATGCTGGAATTAACGTCTACAGTGGGTGAAAATGATTAACTTTGACTCCTACAACCCATTTTCAGTTCATAAAGGTCAAATATGTTCAAATAACTACCTTAATGACAAATGTTTATGATACATGTACTTGACCTGTTGTTTATGAAAAATGACTTTGATCAAATTTTCAAGGTAATAAGAGTCAAATGTCTTACATTACATATTTTTAAGTAACCATTTATGAATAATTTAAATGTCCAAAGGTCAGGATACTTGTCAAAAACTTGGAGGAAGTTTTTTAACTTGACATGACCTGCTTTCTTAGTCATGGAGGTCAAATTCTTCAACAAAACATTTTCTGAATAAAATCTTCCAACAAATTCTCTTGATATGCTATCGACCAGATACAGGCCTATTGTGCATCTTGGTAACTATATAATATCTACATGATATGGATGAATAAAATTCATTAAACAATCTTAAAGATAAAATCAAAACAATGTAATTTTTTAAATATTTTATTTAACATTCTTTAATTCATGTTTGCATCCATTGCAATAATTCAGTATTGTTTAAATTTTGAAGTGGAAATTTGTTATTTTACATTTTCTACTATTTCTCTTCATGTTAATGTATTTATAATGACTAAAATTTAAAGTAATTTGATACATTAACAAGAGGTAATCCTCATTAGATGCTGTCTTAAATGTCCTTTCTCTGTTGATTAAACATTATCAACATCAAAAACAATTTTATATTTATCTGCAGCAATACAATGTTTTCAACATGTAGATGATTATTACATTGGCAGTATCTATAACAAATAACAAAATTGGGTTCTATCTTAATGTTTCAACCAACTCTCACTACGCCAGTGTAAATGCTAATTAGAAATTTGTTTTGGTGAACAAAATTATTTGTCTTCCCTTTCAAGCAAATATATATATTTGCTGTTTTCAGTTGTAGGATGGATGTACAAGAGAAAAATCACTGTTCTCAATCATTAACTTCCACCGACATTGTCTTACTGTCGACAATGACGGAAATGTTTGGTAGCCATGATAAAGAGAAGTGTGTATACTAAATATAGCAATTACTGCACATATAATTACAGTATGGTTCTTGCCAGCATTGCCAACACTGTGATAAGTATCCTTGGTAAGTTGTCTAGTTCAGAGAATATGTCATACCTTCAGTATGGTGTTTTGTAACCTCATCATGACATCATGAGTTGATAATCCTATGACAAAAGAAGGCATTCCGATCTTCAGGTTTTCAAGCAGGAAATTCAATTTTTGTCATAAGCTAGTTGCCACTGTTTTAACCTGCAAGTCTCGCCATCATCAACACAATTTACATGATGAATTCTGCATCCTGTAACTTTATTATGGTTTCTGCAGGTTTTCCTGTAGCCTTGTCACTATCTCAAAACAATGTCCTTAGTTATGACCTGATCATGACATTCCAAAAATCAAGAAAAGAGTCTTATGGTAGAGTCAGCACCTGCACTGAACACCCAGGGTTGATGAGGATGGAACACACAGTCCATCACCCCAAGGCCTTTTGTAACACTGTGTCCTTTCAACATTTTCACAGGCACTATAAGTGGATTCTGTAGCATGTCACTGCAAAATGAAGGTAAAAAGATTTGAAGGTCAATGAAATACAGAATATTTAGAATATGGAGTGCAAAGCATATCTCATATAAAATGTGTTCTTTCTGAAAATTGCATTTTCACTTACTTGTACACCATTCCATGACAGATAATAACAGTTCCATCATCTGAGGCGGAAGCGAATAGAGGGTATCGCTTGTGGTAACATACTTGACGCAGAGCCTTTTTATGGTGTCTATAAATAAACAATGAAGATATAATACTGAAAGCAGATGTTACACTGAGATAATAATCAATAATCCCGGATTAAATACATTCTTCTGTTGATCATTATGAAAATATGACCAGAAATTTGATTTTTACAGAAGTCAAAATTTGCCATAATGGTCTTGCTTTTTCATTCAAATGTTTTGATCAAACAAAATGAGTTCCAAGATTAAGAAATAAAAATCACCTGAGTGTTTGGTAAGGTTTCGCTGACAGATCAAGGTCAAACCATGAGAGTCTGCAGTCATAGCTACCAGTAATCAAATTGTCACCTGAAACAGGGAAATGGTTGTTAAAGGATTGTGATGTGATCAGATGTCTATCTTCACCAACTTGGCAAAGATAAAATTGAAAACTACAGAACTGTTGCATACAACCAGTGTTGCTTCTCTACATTTCTATAAAGAATCTAGATATCATTTCCATGCTTAATCAATTTTAATCTATAAATCAAATACTGCTATTACTACATTGTACCTAAGGCTTGGTGTATCGGTTAACGTCCTTGTCTACAACCCTTTCATACCTGTTGTATTCAGACAATGATTCATAATCTAGATATACGGAGTGTGTGTATCAGATGTTAACCCTCTTAGGCACACTGTCTATCTAGATACATTGTATGTGTGTATCAGACATCCTTAGTCATACTGTGTACCTAGACACATTGTATGTGTGTATCAGACATCCTTAATCATAATGTCTACCTAGATACATTGTATGTGTGTATCAGACATCCTTAGTCATACTGTGTACCTAGACACATTGTATGTGTGTATCAGACATCCTTAGTCATAATGTCTACCTAGATACATTGGATGTGTGTATCAGACATCCTTAGTCATACTGTCTACCTAGATACATTGTATGTGTGTATCAGACATCCTTAGTCATACTGTGTACCTAGACACATTGTATGTGTGTATCAGACATCCTTAGGCACACTGTCCATCTAGATACACTGTATGTGTGTATCAGACCCCTCTTAGCCACTCTGTGTCTAGAATAAATCTGTTACACAGAATCACCTCACTGACAGGTGAATTTTCTTACCTCCTGAATGTACTGCCATACTTGAAACCCATTTGCAGTTGGTCATCAGTTTCTTGGTGAGCTCCTGTTTCAGTAGGTTATATACACGTACATATCGCTGGGTCTGTGTATGTAAAGCACAAGTTTGATTATAGATGACAACTGAAGGAGGCATGCTTCTGAATTCAACTTCTTACTTGTCTTTTATATCTTCTTACTTATCTCCCTTAGTGTTAACAAGTCCTATCATTATTAGCCATAAACACAATTCAGTGTTATTTTTTTCAATGCCTTAGAAACTCTGACAAAATTCTGTAGGTTACAGCAAATTAGAACATATACTTACAAATCTCAAGCACTATTGTCTATCAATTTAGAAACCACCACAGCAAGGACTTTAACACTGTAACACTTATACAGAATACTTGGTACACTTGAATTCCCTAAATAGGTATACATTTTGGTATATATGTTATCTCCCTAAGGTATATGCTACCTTGAACAAAATATTTATATTTTGTTATGTTAAAATCATTGGAATATAATTAACAAATCTGTGATTTCCTGTCCGGGTCAATTATCTCCCTTATGGGTATTTGGTACCTTAGGTTCCTAGCTTTTCTTTTGTTCTTCTATATGTACGACATTCATCTTCATTTTTCATTAAAATTAAGGATCTCACATAAACTCAAAACTGTTGAAATGTTACCAATCCTATTTTGCATCACTTCTGGAAACAGATCTCTATGTGACAATAATGTGGCATTTGTCCTTACCTTACAAAACACATATCTCCTATAAAATCATAGGTTTTCATGGGAATAAATTTTTGTAGTTTTTGAAAAAATTTCTATTTTGTGGATACTTGGTATTGCGGTTAAATTAAGCTCAATAAATAACTAACTTCAAAACTTCACTGAAATGTGAGTTCACAGGACAATGATTTTACAGCATATATTTAGAACATTAATGTTTCTCTTGTGACAACTGAAATCCTTACAAAAAGTTCACTACTAATAATACTGTACTGTGGACTCTGTCAAATCATATTAGAGAGTTAAAACTGTACTCACCGCCACAAACAAGAATGGTCTGATAGGGTGGAAAAGCACACATTGCACAAGGCCTTTGGATTTGGAGAAAGGATTCTAAACAACATAAAATATATTATTCTAAGAATGATAAAACATCACATATTTAATCTGACCTGATAAAATGAATAATCATGACCTATTGTAACCTTGAAGTGTGAATCTGCTCAAGATTTGATTCAAACAATTTCAGCAAATATTTTGCCAGTAAATGTTGCTGACATGATACTTTTGCCATGTACAACTTCTCATCGGAAACTCAAAAATGTAATGTAGGACAATATCAAAATCCATATTTAACAGTGGGTGGTTCATCCTTCTGGAAACTTACACAAAGAGTGGAGTTGTTTCATTGCGAGTGACACTTGCATGGAGGTAAGAAATCTCTAAGCTCTTCATATAAAGATATATGACCAATTATTGTTTGTGTGATAAAATTGACAGATAAACTTGATTAGTGATTTATTTACCTGTGATCGTTTCCGTGACAACTGATGTATCATAACTGCATTGCTGTCTCCTTTGGGCATCACAGATGCAAAGTAATCTCCCTTGACATGCCATGTCACCTGGTTAACTTCCTGTAATACAGAATAAGGTTATCGTAATAACTAAAATAAAAATAACTGTTGATGTCAAGTTGTTTACAAAATGAACAATCAACATATTAAAAGCTTTGTAGCACTTTTACAACAATACTGCTGAGAGAATAAATTCTTTATAAATTTATTTGTTAAATCAAGTCAAATGTTTACAATTAATTCTATCAGGTTTACCCTATCATAAACAACAGTACTGCAGGGCAAAGCAATAGGCTCAAGTAACAAAGGGCAATAACTTCTTCATAAATTGTTAATCAAACTGCTGTAGAGCAGAACACCACTTCATGTCAGGGTGATTTAAGCGGGCCAAGTTTGAAAGAAATTGACTGAAAAGAAGAGAAGATTAACACTATGAAAATCGGTTGAAAACTGTGAAAGGAGATCTTCGGACAAATAAAACTTTAAGAAGATAGATGACACCATGCCATGAAATGTCCCATCAAAAGTTTTGACATTAGTATAAAAGATTTATTTTCAGTGATTTACGTAGTGATATTTTAACCCTCTACTGATTGTATACAGAACATTATCATGAATCTCCTGGGCTATTACCTTTGAGTGTGAAAGTTTCAGTCTATAGCCAGCCTCATAGTCCTTTCCTCCAATCTCTATCCAACCAACAGGGGGCTTTTTACCTGTAAGTAAGCAAAATATTCACAATTTTGAATTTTATCGAGTCCCATACTATTACCTGATAATACAGTCTTGATAGTTCTAATGAGTACACAAAATGTTACAACTTAGCATAAGCTCATAAAGACAATGTGCCAAGTTACTAAAATGTTAATAATACATTCCACTTCCTGTATAACACCTCAATTTTTTCCAGAGATGTATTCAACATTGAATAATATTTGAACCAAGGATAACTTTCCTACAGATGCAGGAAACAGACTCACACAAACACTCTCTACTATCCTTAAAGCTGTGGAGAGCAGACTCACACAAACACTCTCTACTATCCTTAAAGCTGTGGGGAGCAGACTCACACAAACACTCTCTACTATCCTTAAAGCTGTGGAGAGCAGACTCACACAAACACTCTCTACTATCCTTAAAGCTGTGGAGAGCAGACTCACACAAACACTCTCTACTATCCTTAAAGCTGTGGAGAGCAGACTCACACAAACACTCTCTACTATCCTTAAAGCTGTGGAGAGCAGACTCACACAAACACTCTCTACTATCCTTAAAGCTGTGGAGAGCAGACTCACACAAACACTCTCTACTATCCTTAAAGCTGTGGGAAGCAGACTCACACAAACACTCTCTACTATCCTTAAAGCTGTGGGGAGCAACGTTGTTTCACACAAACACTCTCTACGTGGATTTTTATCCTTAAAGCTGTGGATTTTTTCTGTTTGAGGCTATGTTCACAGGAATTCACACAAACACTCTCTACTATCCTATATAAGCTGTGGAGAGCAGAAACAATTGTTTTCACACAAACACTCTCTACTATCCTTAAAGCTGTGGATGTGTGCAGGTGTGACTCACACAAACACTCTCTACTATCCTTAAAGCTGTGATGAACATATCATTATGTATCACACAAACACTCTCTACTATCCTTAAAGCTGTGGAGAGCAGACTCACACAAACACTCTCTACTATCCTTAAAGCTGTGGGAAGCAGACTCACACAAACACTCTCTACTATCCTTTAAGATGTGGAGAGCAGACTCACACAAACACTCTACTATCCTTCAAGCTGTGGGAAGAAGACAAACACAAACTCTCTACTATCCTTCAAGCTGTGGAGAGCAGACTCACACAAACTCTCTCTACTATCCTTCAAGCTGTGGGAAGAAGACAAACACAAACTCTCTACTATCCTTCAAGCTGTGGGAAGCAGACTCACACAGACTCTCTACTATCCTTCAAGCTGTGGGAAGCAGACTCACACAAACTCTCTCTACTATCCTTCAAGCTGTGGGAAGAAGACAAACACAAACTCTCTACTATCCTTCAAGCTGTGGGAAGCAGACTCACACAGATTCTCTACTATCCTTCAAGCTGTGGGAAGCAGACTCACACAAACACTCTCTACTATCTAGTATGACTGGTTAAAAAGTACTGAAGTGGACACAACCTTTTGCAGTTCAACATAGGGGTTCCATGAAAGACCTCAAGTTTGAGGGTGCAAAATTACTTCTAATAGTCAACAATTATACAAAGTGTCATCCCTCAAATCTTTGTGGTTACAGAATTATGATGCAGACAGGAATGTGTTTCAGACGGACGGATGGCCGATGGACGGACAGAGCAATCACCACTGTAATGGGGAGCGGATTACAACAGTATCTTTACTTTCAGTATTGATATATAATACCGATCTGACACTGATTTGATTTTGTACATATGGTTAAATGGAAAAGTGTGATGATAATGCTGTGCAGGAAATATCAGTTCAAGACTGTATAGTTACAATCACTAGATTTGAAGATTTTTGCAGACCAAATTACTTACTAGACCCAGCATCATCTGCTGGTTTAAAAGAGTCCAGCATATCGTCCGTTTTATTTACTAACAGCTTGTCCACCAAACCGGGGTTAATAAGGTACACGAAATAACCCCTGAAATTAATAACAAAACATAATTTTAAATAACTTACTGACATTTGAAGAGAAAAAGATCCTAAGACTGCCTGTCCTGAAGCATTGATAACAAGTAATGAATGAAACCAATCTTGATGAATCCTTTTACAACAGAATGAATATGTTACACCTATGTCCTTCACTTCTATATTACCACTACAACTGAATATTATAACTGGGAAAGTCATTTCCCAAGATTCATTCGTAAATACTTACACTGCTGCTGTTACTAAGTTTATGTTTGGATTGGGATTCCATGATAAACTCTTGACCACATCTTCTGTGGTCAGCGTTTGAAGACAGCGACCAGTAGACACCTCCCAAAACTTTATTGTCTTGTCATCAGAGCCTAAACAGAGATTTTGTGAGAATTGTGACTTGAAGGGTTATTTGGCACAAGTAAGGATTTCAGGGGATGCTTTTGAAGAATACTTCAGGAAATTATCTATCTATTTCCTTATGGAAATTGTACACCTCAAATCAACATTTAAACAAATATTTGATATTTTATTTGTGGAAATTCTTTAAAGATCTAGCTAGATAGATTTACAAATGCTAGTGCACCCCTGATTGCAACATAACAGGTTTACATTGTTATAAGCCTAACAGAATGATGTATTGTGTATAAATTATCAAATGAACAGAAAATTAGCCCAATAACGTATCAAAATTTTAACCCCAGCTGAAATTTTAGTGAACATCATATACACTTTTTATTTACCCACTACTCAGTATAAAATCTATAATCTAGTGAACTTCCTGTTACGGATTTCCCGATGTGCTATATTTAGACGGTTTGGCTGGGAGTATTCCCACACATTTCATCTGTCCAATCTCACCTCAGGAGAGATATTTTGATGCTAACAATAGTTTCAAGAGTCATTAGATTGTGTTCTTAAAACGTGCAGAACATCCAGAAATTTAGAAACTTTGGCAGAATATTCCTTTAAAACAAACACATTACTGTTATATTTACCTGAGGCAAGCCATTGACCACTGGGATCTACTGCTATACATCTCACAATATCTGTGTGACCCAGGAACGTCTACAAATACATCATTACCAAAATGTTACCACATGTTTATTCCAATGATACTCATATATCAACAATATCAAAACAGATGTCCAGATAACTGTAATAACAATGTTTCTATTCTAGAAATATTGCAGAAGAAATACTTACTAAGTCACTCTTTGTCTGATGTGATTTATCAATTCAGTAGAAAGTAAGAGAAACTAGCCTTTGCTTTGGAGATTTAATTCAACTAACAGAATAATAACCTAAAATGTAAATACACTTGATCACTGACACTTGTCTGTAACATTACCAGGTAAACAAAGATACAGGTGTAATATACTTACTACTGCCTCATCAACAGTAACATTACCAGGTACACAAAGATACTACTGCCTCATCAACAGTAACATTACCAGGTAAACAAAGATACTACTGCCTCATCAACAGTAACATTACCAGGTAAACAAAGATACTACTGCCTCATCAACAGTAACATTACCAGGTAAACAAAGATACAGGTGTAATATACTTACTACTGCCAGTGTTGTTGGGAATGGTTGCAGTTCCTTGGGTTTGGGCAATTTTGGAATTAGGTCTTCTGGGTTGATGTTCATCTGAAAGTTTTCATATCATTCATTGGTAGTGATGTTGTATTCACAACTAAAATTTACAATATATTTGATGTTTTAACACTTGCAGTCACAATCAAAACTATAATTCAATATTTAGTTTGATGTGGTAAAATTAAGTCAATATAATATACAGTAATGCTTAAATGAAGCTTTTAATCAAGAGGCCTCCTCAGCAAACTTTTTACTGTGAACTGTGAGTCAAGGTCAAATTCACACAAATGACTGAATCAATACTTTATTTATCAAACATCTTTTATTACTTTATTTGTAATTGAATCAAACACTGCAACAGATCAGCAAATATCATGAATTTTGAAAATTCACAAGATGATTTTTGAAGGTTTATGTACATCTGACCTGCTTGACCTTAAAAGCAGGTCAAGGTCATTCATTTAAACATCTATCTCGGAATACTTGATCCTATGAATGAAAATAACATGTTAATGTTTCCTTATTTTTAATATTGAAGAACATTTGGCCCCTATGACAAGAATATTTGTTATAACAAACTTGACAAATTAATACCTAACTTGCTTAATATTTTTACTATACAGTCTTTGTTGGTTAACTCTTTGAGATGAATTCATTTTCAGATTTAAACACATTTTACACATTAAATATTGCAAAGGGATCATGGTCACTAGATTCTACTGACCATATATCTAGATCATGGTTTTTCAGAAGAGTTTGTTTAAAATTTCAGCATATTTTATCCAACTGGAACTTAATGTAGATTTAGGTCATTTATTCAAATAAAAAATTGAAAATGTTTGAAGTCATTTGAACATGCTACTGACCCCATATCATGATCCTATACGCATCTCGGTTACTAAGGAGAAGGTGAGAAAAACTGTGTATACACTTTTCATGGTGATTTACTCATTACTGCAGTTTACATGTAGGCATACTGATTATAAAAAATCTATCACTTAGCTACAACTGGTTTTTTTATGTTATGATTACAAACGACTGGCTGAAAGCAATTTTTCACATAGATAAAACTTGGTCACACTAAAGCTTCCACACACTAAGAAGTCAATTGTAAGTAGACATCCTACATCTCTTGAGGTTGGAAATCTTAGTACTAACCTTCATTTTCCTTTGTCTGGGGCAAAGATACAAGTCAAGACATCTTTCAAATCTCTCATTAACAAATCTGGGATAAGATGGAACTTTCCGTAAACTGTCAAACTTTTGGGGCATGAACTTGATTCGTCGTTCATCTGGGTCCTGGTTCCGCCATTTTTCTTCCTGAACGAAAACACAATTACCTTTTAATCAAATATCTAAAATAAACAAACTTGAAAAAAATTTACTGAATTACATATGATTTATTTTTATCATTTAAAGTGAAAAAATAAAAATAAAATAATGAACACTTGATGTCTACAAGGTAAATGTTTTACTCGTTACAAACATTCAGAGTCCTATAAAACCTGAATATATTTCTAACAGTAATATCAATCTTCTGGTAACGTTACAAAATATAGCAAACTTAACATAAACACATGATGAAGATCTCATTGGAGTTTCTGTTTGATATGAGATTTTTTAACTTAGCCCAAGAATTTTTCATTTTATGAAACCTTTCCAATATAAACTGTAAGATTTGTGACAAATTTCTCATATACATACTGGAAACATATGTGAGATTTTTTTATCACTTACCTGATATCATTTGCAAGCAATTTTAAAAACAAATGACTGTTATATAATCAAAATAGGTGATACCCACTCCATAATAATCTCTTTGGTGGCATGAAGTTATGGAATCTTAATTGAACAAAGTTCATCAGTTCTGCTGGGTGTTACAACACATATGATCATAACTGTACAAATTATGTATATAAAGGATATTGTTACACTGATAACAAGATAGTGATAAATATATTTATATTACTTCTGAGTTCACCACACCATTGTACTATCCATTATGATCACAATATGACTATGTTTCCTACCTCCTCTTTAGTGAACAGATATTCTGGTGGTGGATTATACGATTCATTGTGACCCGGTAAAGCCATCTTGGGAGCAGGAATCTGGGATCTATACCTCCTTGTCATCTCATTCTGTGAACACATTCAACTTTCAGTAACAATCAAATGATTCCTGTTTTTCTAGATTTATTATCGCATCTGGCGTCGGTGAAAAAATTGTCATCAAAATAAGTATAACCCACACAATCAACTTTTTTTTCTCATGAGTTGGGCATGCAGTTTATTTACTGGTGTGGTTTATATGTGGACGAAAATAAATCAGCGGAATGAAAAAAAACACAAAAAGGAAACTTCCAGTACACGTGATGGCACGGAGTACCTGCCTGTCACGTGTTTGTGAGTGAAATTGATCGCCTTAAACCATCATTTGTGACCATATACAGAATGATCTGAAGATCGAAATAAAAACAACATTCTTGTGGAGTTGATTAATCCTACATTTTTAATATGTTATGATATTTTCTGGACTTTGGCAGTTACCTTGAAGCCATAGTAGAAGGTAACAATAGCTATCGCATCCTTCGATTGATAGATCATCAAATTCTAGAATGACCACCATGCTTGTTTACGATATGAATGGCTTTGTGTAACTTATAAGTAGAAATAACATGGGACTGTAAGAATTTGGTAAGCATGCAAGGGCCTTTGTTAATATTTAATAGTACAGACACTGATGGTGATATTTTTTAGTAAACTGTATGTAACTTCAGGCCATATATCTGTGCGTAGACAATCTGTGAAGGCACCCATGCCAAACAAGTTCGATGTTTGCTATTTCATATTTATGTAATACAACAATAAAAGTAAGGATTATCTGTATATCATTCAATCATCTATTAAATGTTTCACTTACAGTCTTGATAAATTGTCCTAAATTGTCTGTTTTATCAACAAACTTTGGACAACTTAACGGTTACCATATTGTAAGAACTGCCTTCCATTGTCTGTTTCCGGTATTTCAAACGTCAACAATAGTGGTCACTATATCATAAGAAAGGGTGCGGCTTTTATGTGGATGAAATTGAAAAATTCACTAAAATCTGGCCCTGTGGAATTTATACTGATGTGGCTTATAACCCGGAAAATATGGTAACCAGGAAGGTTGGTTTGGAGGTAAGGTACTTATTACTCATTATAATTGTAGGACAAACCTCTTCATCATCTTTCCACAGCATGAAAAACTTCTCTTCCTCCTCCTCATCCTCTCCATCTTCTTTCGGCTTTGGGGTTGGTTTCATCCAACCCATCTTTAGTGCATGAACCATTTGCCCAACCTACGTCAAATGCATTGAGATCAGTCCACATTTCCCCAATTCAATTATTTCAAGAGAACAAAGAGATCAGACATTTTTCTCAGGTTTTAATTCTTTCAGGAAAATATTGTTTTATTTTATGTCTTGAAATTGTGATCTTTTTATTTGATGCTTTGATACAATTTATCAACGTAACCGGTTAGTAGGATAGATAGCAGTGTAACACACAGAACTTGGCAATGTCTAATCTTTAAAATGGTTTTCAAACACCTTATATAACCTACCTTAAGTCGTTCCCACTTGGATGGAATAAAACTACGTTTGTGTTCAGGACGGTTGGTCATAGGGTGAATCATCACTTCCGATGTTTCAAAATCTACCCAAGGCTGAAAATAAATAATGGATTCAAATACATACATTAAAATGTATATGACCACTATCAGCTGATAGACCTATGCTATTTATCAGTAAGGCATATGCTGGTCGTTTTCTTTCTTCAATACTTTACACTATACATAACTGATCTTGACTTCATATTGATTAGAGGTCTCAACGGAAAAAATGAAAATAAATTTATTACTTTGACAACAATTGTTAAATAACTTATATTTCTCAACCTCCTTGAAATGGAATACTGATAAGCAGGGAAAACCTAAATGGTTAGGAAGGTGACCCCATACCTTTTCATGTCCCATCAATCCAAGTTATAAGGCCATCTAACATCAGTCAAACCAATAGTGTTGACACAAAGGTGACAACTTTAAGGTAAAAGTGACATCCGACAAATTTCATATTGCTTTTCAAGCCCCCATTTGATGCCTTCCTGCTAGTCATACACTTTGTCTTTTAACATACCTTACACTGTATTCCGATTTTAAATCTCCTTGTGGGTGCCTCCCTCATATACAAACATTTTTCTATTAATATACCATACATTGAATGTTGCTTTTCTATCCCCTAGAGGGCCTCCCTCAATTTCAAACAATTTTCCTATTTAACATACCGTAAATATTCGCGTATAGTGCACACTTTTTTAAGCTGAAACTGTCGTGTCAAAAAGGGGGTGCGCACTATACGCAGGTACATGCCATTCCGGGGGTTATCATTCCCGAGTTCTGCATCCGCCATATTGGATTACCTCCCTTCACATAGTTATATGTAAAAGTCGTCGGTCTTATATGATAGTTTGGAGATAAAAACAACAAAAAAATAAAATGTTTTAATCATCTGCCATTCACGCTAGCATTACGGTGAATCTAATTTTTTTTCGTTTCCCGTCATTTTGATGATGTATCTGTGGAATTCAATGAATCCGAAGTTTTTAGGCGATTGTCGTTCTGTTCATAAATCGGACAGCCCATCCCACCGATGCCAAAAGTTGGTGACCCCATGACCTCTCTTGATCTACATGGCCCGCACGCGCAGTTCTGTTGTACTGGCAGCGATGCCGGGATATCGGCGATTGCATACAAAGTTGAACAGCTCTCTCTCTCTCTCCATCTCTGGGTGTTTCGCTGTCGCACTTATGTCAGCCCTTCTGGTCAGTGGTTGGGACTTTATACGGTCTTTTCTTTCTTCCGTGCCTTGATATTTCACTCTTGAATGTCGAAGTGGCGACCGGCGGCACGAAACTCAAGTCTCTCGGCTTAGTCAAATGGCGTTCGCAGTTTCCCCATGTCGAAGTTGGTGTAAACAATCTATCATTAAATACCTTTGGATACCGCGGTGGGTACAGATACCATGAAAGATCATGCCTATACTTTTTTTTTTTTTTTTGAGCTTAACGTCCTTGTTCCGGTTATAACCGAGCCTAGGACACTCATGCCTATACTGAACAAACCACCTGCTTTTATGGGGACAAGGTAGGATTGAAGATGTTCAGACAGTTAAAACAACATCGTTTTCTGACCAATAGTACGCGTTCAGCCCAAGCCGGTTGTCATCGGTCTCCTCATACTCAACGTGTTAACTGTCATTAACCGTTAATTATACAATCAGCCAAGCCTTTCATGCTTGTTAGGTCACCTGGGTAAATTTGTTTACTTAAGGTAATGACAGGTGTTAGGGTCACGCTCATTGTGGTTTCCTAATTATCAATGGATCAGACCACATCAAATGTTTCGTCGCAGTGACCAGTCAATTAATTTTTCTGTAGATTTTTTTTTTTTTTTTTTTAAATCTGATCTCCAAAAAGTACCTGCGCACTATACGCGAGTGCGCACTATACGCGAATATTTACGGTATACCTTACATAGTAATACGATTCTTCTACAGAACATACCTTACAATGTATAATGATTTTCTCACTACCTTCGTATACACGATGTGTACTGACATACCTCATATTGATTCTCTACCCCTTTGGGGTGGTTCCCCTTCTGTAGCCTCTTTATGGTCTTCAGATCTTCTTCGCTAAGTACCACATTCTGGCCAGTCATCTTGTTGGTAACGGTTCTCCTTAATTACAGAATTAGTTGTATCAGTATTTAATGATAGAATTGGAAACAGAGATTACCATCTTGTACACTACAGATCTCAGTGTAAATATGGGTCGTTTGTCTTATTCCAAGGTGATCATCGTCCAGACAGTGCAATCATCTAAATGTCACACATAGTCTTCTTACAAGTAGTGATAAAATAACTTCTATTCTAAAATAAGTCTGATGCAATGTCTGTGACTGTAGTTGTTAAGGTTACACATGTTGTATTAAAAAAACAATAAGAAAATATAACAACATGTCAACATAATCATAATCCAAACTCAAATTCATATTCAATAAAACCAGGGAAAAATACTGACAAAAGATTACACAGACTCTTGAACATGTACTAGAAGAATCTGATCAGATGTTCCAGACCAGTAAGCGTCTTGTGTTTTATTGACAACGCTCGCTATGTAAAACTAGTTTTCTTTCTCTCCTTGTTTTAATTCATGATTTTACATCATAGTAGTTTCTCAAGTTATTACTTACCAGTAATTAGGATTGTCCATTTTATTAAGGAACTCATCCAATTCATCTGCCCTTTTAGGTTTGGCTATTTTCCTGCCTTGTACATCATAACCAAGATGATTGTAGTCATTGTACCACTCAATTGGCACATTTCCTATGGTGTTCCTGATATCCTAGAATCAAAACAACATACTCCTAATACACTATATCACGGTGACTTTTATCATCTTATACTGAAATGTCGTAAATCTAATCAAAAGCTATACTTAAATCAAATTTTCAAACACTTGATCAATGATGTGTTCAATAGAGTGTTTACTATTTTCAGAATTAATTCTTGATTCATATAAATCAAATTTTCTGTTCTTGGAAGTTGTTTAATACCACTTTATTGTACACCATTTCATAAAACTACAAGAAATATTATGACTCTATGCATCACCATTCTGAAGAAGTTGTACTGAAGTAAAAATAGACACGTTTGATACACATTTTCTTAAAAAAATAAAGTTATTCACATCAACAAGTGTTGAATAACCACACACTATCACATGTTATAGGACATATACACTTGTTTTTATATTTCTTTGTTTTCAATACAGGTATTTAATACAAACAAATTACTGTTTATTAAATACATCAACTATGCCATACCATAACACATCCAAATGTAAGATAGCAATATCTTATCAAAAACTTTCTGTTATGCCAACCATATATTTGATAAATAGACAAACATACTTCCTCATCAGAAGAGTCACTTTCATATTCATCTCTTTTCAGAATTGATGGCTCTGTGCTATTTGTTCCCTGTGCCATCTTGAAATTTGTGGATTTTGTCTGGGATTTTATGTTAATAGGTTTCTGTAGTCCAGTATCTTCATCCTTGTCGCTGTCTGATGATCCTTCATCAAATGGCAAATTACTCACATTTTCTTCATCATCTGATGAACTTGAGTTATCTTCACCATCTTCCTTTATAACGGGCCCATGTATATACATTAATAATTCAGTTCAATTTTGATATATATTGCATGTATTTGTATTACAAAAACATAGAATATATAAGACTTCAGTATGAAAGAGTGAAAACACAGGATATCATTATGCTGTTATTACATCAGATATCAGCTATTCACCGAACCAACTGATGAACGTGTAAAGTTATCAGGATATTGCAATACTGAGTTACCTTGGTAGTAAATCATTCCTTCCAACTTCAACTTCGTCATTTCATAGAGACACTGACTATCAAGACACACAAGTGTAAGAGTTGGAAACAGCAGTAGAGCCACTAAATCTACATTATTGAACCAATCGGTGATATAATCACTTCAGTTCATTAAATGAATGAGAATACACTGAAATACTCTACCTCATCAGAGTCCTCACTGTCAGATTCTGGTTCTTCTTCCAGTCCCGAGTAAACACTTTCCTCCGAGTCTGATACATCTTTAAACAGACTCACCTGGAATCAGCAGAGAGAAATTAATTAACATGGAATATATAACAATATACCAATATATTGGACTATTCAGTCTGTAAAATTGGCTCATGAAATATTAATAAGTTTTAGGAAGGAAAGTTAGACCACTTAATCTTCTTGTCGGAGAGACACTTTTTAAATTCAGCTAAATCTGTATTGCATTTATTTAGAAGCATCTTCCCCTTAAATCACAAGGATATTGTTTTGTTAAGGTCACCATCTGGTGTCTATCAGGATACACATCAATAATTTATATCTGATGATGCAGCATAATGTTAAAAACAATCATTTTGGGCCTAATTTTTTCTCAAATTAATGTGCAATCCCTTTATAATTTTGAAAATTTTCTTCTAAAGTAAAATTCCAAATATGGACATATCCATCAAGATCCCCCATCCATATTCATTTGTATCATATATACATTTAAAGTGAGCAACGTGGAAAACTGGAAAAGATATCAGCCAATCAGGTCACAGCAGCCTCAATAAATATGCACAGAATTTGCCAACAATCAAACTTGAACAAGGGGTTAAGGTAACAAGTCTACCAAGCAAAACGATACCGTGTGGAAAGCATTCCAGTTAGAGTGCCAAAAGATAACAGCCAATCAGGTCACAGCAATCTCATAAAATATGCATAGAATTTGCAGGTAATTTAACTTGAACGTGGAATTAAGGTAATAAGTCGGAGAATCAAGTTTCCTAAAAATCTTATCATTCCTTCGTAAGATAATATGCAGAAAGAATTTGCATTGAGTGTTTAAAGAAATCATTCAGTCAGGTCATAGCAGCCTTATTAAATACATGCAGAATTTGCTGTTAATCAAACTTGAGCAATGGATTAAGGTAACATGTGTACCATCCAAGATTCTTCAAAATTCTACCAGTCTTCCACAAGATATCATGTGGAAAGCAGCATCCGAGAGTGATTAAAGATATCAGCCAATCAGGTCACAGCAGCCTCATTCAATGATCTCAGAATTCAATGTTAATCAAACTTGGCCAAGGGATTAAGGTAACAAGTGGACCAACCAAGTTTTACCAGCCCTTCAGCAGATATCATGCGGAAAACAGCATACGGATGAACGGAACCCATTCAAATATCCCCCGGCAACTTTGTTGGGCGGGGATAATAAAATACATTCAACTTAGGAACCATCAAAATAGGTGAGAGATGTGGGAAGTCAAGCAAGTTCCATACCTGAAAACATTATTCTTATGATAAAACATGACCTTCGACAATAAAGAGTTGGTATAATTTACAGTTACAGTATACAATACATGAAGTATCACTCAAAACAGCAGCTGAAACACCCATAATAAAAGAACTGGGTAGGTCTCACACTCAACAGTTTGATCCAAATCTTTCCAAGATGTTCTATCAACATCGGGATGGCATCAGCGTAATGGAGACTATTATATAATACATATTTGACCATCATAATTAACCAAAACACATAAAAACTTACCAGACTTGTAAATCACAGACTGACAATTAGAACCCTTTACACTAACTGGATCCCTACCATTAACTAGCAACAAAGTAAACATGGGCTAGAGGGCATGACCATTGACACACACAGCTATTTTCAAGAATGTAAATCTACTTACAACAGTTTTTCCATGCTATGAGGACATATAACCTACTTCCATTAGTTGTGCCATCACCATCTGCTGAAATCTGAAAGATTCTAACTATCTACCTCGGATCTAAATTCTTTACTTGGTTACTAGGGCTTCTAACGTTAATTTATCGAAGGTTAAAAGGAGACCAGTTAATGTCTTTAAAATAATCAACAGCTTCTACGATGAAGAAATTACAGAGGAATTACTTCAAATTGATACCTCCTCCAGAACAAGAGGCAATTCAAAAAAGTTAAAAAAGCAACGTTACAAGATGGATGTTTGAAAATACTCCTTTACATTTAGAATCCTCGATATTTGGATTGACCTGCCTGAGTCAGTTATTAAATTCAAAACAGCAGTAGAGTTTGAAATTAATTTAGATAATTTTTGGAAAAATCGTGAGATAAACTTTAATTACTTAGTCAGTTATAAATCAGTCAGCGGAGGTATAACCTAATATACTATGTATTTTATACTGTATACCAGTAATGATATGGATATAGGGTCCATAAAATATCCTATTGTACTGTGTGGCAATGCTCATAAATAACACTTTGCAGGAAAGCTAAGTGAAAAACTCATTCATAGTCGTTAATTTTCCGTTTTACTTTAGCTTTTTTTCTGGCTTCAGTATACATATTGATTATCATGGATATTTTTACTTCCTGACATGTGCAACGGTCCATCAATATTCTCTGGAATGGTGCACTATATACGTAAGAAACATTTAATCAATTAAAGGAATGGCGTGTCCAATCTTTTATGCAGTCTCAATTTTACAAAGATGTACTTAACCTGTTACATGCAGTGTATACGTGATCAACAAACCAGTCAAAATGGTTATAGACAGATTTTAAAGGTAATGTTATTCTACAGGGTCCGTTATTATGGGTTGCAGTAATTTTTCATAACGATTTTGAATACATTTCTAACACATTAGCCGTATCGATAAACTGCGAACATACAGGGTCCTCTTTAGTCTCTTCCAATGTTTCTCGTACACGTTTTCTACTGGTAGTGGCCATGCTTGTTTTGGTAGTACATGTGTTTCGATCATAAAAGTACAAAGCACTCGATAGTAGCAGTCAGTCGATCATTGCCGAATTTGTTAAAATATAATGATTTTGATGATACTTGATTTCGGTTAAATAATAATTTAACGAAGATTACTTGAATTTTCTCATATCCATACATATTGACATTGGCTTCTGATATCAAAATAGTTTTTATGGTTTATCGACTATTTTTGCAAAGGTTAGAGATTTCTTGCAAGAAACATAACTCTAATCTTATCAAGTTTTGTATTCCAGACAGAGGGAAGAAGACGTTCCGGTAGGTTTTCCTTGTAAGTATAGTAATCTAGTAGGTACCCACTTGTATAAAATGTTTTCACAGTGACATTATCGTCTAAATTTCAATCAGGTTGGAGTTAGATAAGAAAATCACTCCATCACGAATAAACCCACATAAAATATACTTTTTCGGTTATTGTAAGGTTCTGATCACATACTTTGGATTATGAGGATATCAATACAATGCATCCATGAAAATGTTAGTAATAATATAATGATATTTATTCAGGTAAAATGTGCATGTGAAATTAGTTTAAAACGAGACATTAAACATTCAAGATCATATTGCAACTTACACTTACTGATGAAAACACTCTTACTCTTAGTATTTATTCAATTAAGGAATATATAATATCACGTTATTTCCATTCCGGTATCAAAGCTAATAGCACTGTGATAATACTGTAAAATAAGCAGGTAATACAAAAAATGAGAAAGGTAGAACAAGGCAGTAGATCGACGTTCATTGACTACAGGCCAATTACGCAACATGAGAATAATTCAGACTAATGGAAATAGGATTACCCATCAAAGTCACAAAATGACTTGTATTTCAAATGGGATCCTTTAACTCTTAAACCCTTATCTATTTGTTGGTCTTCTATCATAAAATTTAATAACATGTACCTTCTTACAGTTGACAACTATCATTTAATATGTCCTATATATCCTATTTACAATATAGTCATAAGTTCAGATAACAGATGAAACATAACAGATAGTAGGACACCATATTATTAGCTAGATGAAAACACATGCGTTATAACCGATCTCTTCCAGACTTGTTAGACTTAACAGATAGTAGGACACCATATTATTAGTTAGATGAAAACACCTGCGTTATAACCGATCTCTTCCAGACTTGTTAGACTTAACAGATAGTAGGACACCATATTATTAGTTACATGAAAACAGGGGTGTTACAACTGATCTCTTCCAGATTTTGTAGGCATAAAAGCAGAGATGTAAATGTGATATATACGTCTCTGATAAAAGTGAGTGTTTTATGGTATGTGGCACTGGCTAACTGGAACTTTCTGCATCATTGGACTGTGAACTTCCTACCTATTGATTGAATGAAACTTGTTATGCCAAAAACTTGTTTGAAAAAAATAAATCTTAACGAATCAGGACAAAAGCACACTTGGTTTTCTGCTGATATCATTTCCTGTTTGAAGCTCAATATACTAAAACATGGAATGGTATGGAACAAAACTATACTCAAATAAACATCAGAGAGAAATTAAAATTTTACCACGACAATCCATGTATGAAACAGAGGTCATTTTTAATCTCACTGCTCCGCTAGGAGTCGAACCCGGGACCCCTGGCTAACTAGTCTGACGCTCAACCAACCGAGCTAAAGAGAAGTTCTCTCTAGCCGAGTGGTATATTGCGGCAAATATTTTACCAGGGTTACATACTCCCCCTCCAGGAAATCATTCGTCCTCGAGTTTCCAGGGGTCACAGCAATGCCGGTGGGGCATGGCTAAGTACTATTCCCAGGCCCCATGTTGGGCGCCAATGTGATGATTGCCATTGTCAACATATTAGTTTGGGACTCGGCCAGTGGGCCATGTATCATTTTACGGCAAATTTATGAGAAAAACCACTCAAAGACTGAAAAGTCACTTAAGATGTGCATTCAGGATCAGTAGAACATGTTTGAGTACAATGAAATAAGCAAGGGTGTAATGGGATAAGACATGAGCAATAATAAACAGGGTGTAAAAAACACATCTGCACAGCACAACGAACGAGCTCAGTCTGTCCGAACAAAGGCGGACGATTTACAAAGAAAACTTACGCCCCATACAAACTATTACAATACAGAATAGAAGACAACTCAACAACATTATATGACAGTTCGACCCACGCACGCTAACAATGGAACAGGTACCCAGACCGGTTGGCCAAGTGTGACGGCAAAATATAGATTGACTCACCTTGAGAGCGGTACGCGCACATGTCCCAAGATAAACAATAACACAGGCATTCGATAAGATAACTCATGACGAATCCGTACAGATATACACTTGCTAAAACATTCCTAAAATAGACTATGTGACACTATCATTGCTAGCCACTGTAAGCAGCTATAAAGTTTGTCTTGTATTCAGTATGGCATCAGATTAACAAATATTGATGCATCAATGAAATGTATCTTGTGTGAGAGAATACAAACACATTGACTCAAAAAACTAGCTGTTAGCTTAATTTGAATCACATAGTAATGAACACATTGCACTTGCTCTTAGACCTGTGTTTCATATTATCTAGGACATGAAATTGTGTTTTCTTGATTTGACAATAATTGGAGGAGGTTATTGCCTTTTGAGTCATTAAGTATTTTCTTCTTGTCTAGCAATCTCCTCCCACTTTCTCACCAATTTTTATGAAATATTTTAAGTCATTATTTATACATATTGTTTATCTGTGATATTTGCCTACATTCCTAAATTTTAAGTAAATGTGAAGAGACATGTAAGACATCTATATGTTATGTGACATGATAAAACATCATGGCTTTGTCATTTGTTATGTATTTACTATTTTGGTTAATTCTGGATTTTGGTACACATCTTTCGGCTATGTAATTGGTCCCACCCAAATTGTAACTCTCCTGTATAGTATACAATAAACGGTCTCTTGCGTTGAAGGCATGTCTGGCTTTGGTTTGTTTGTGACAGACACAACATCAATTATGTCCAAGTGGACCATTTACTGCTAACAAGGACCAAGTGCATTATATGTAGTTTCGCCCATGTAAATACACTTTAATTTATGTAAGCAAACTTAAAAAGAAATCCTTAAATGGCATTTTGATATTTTGATTTTCTTCAGTTTTGGGGAGAATTATTTTTTTTATCAAATTTTAATCTCATTCAAAGATTTCTTTTCTCAGTTTACATTTAATTACTTTTAAAGTCTGGCATGCCTTTTCATCAAAACATATATCATTTGATCTTGATTTTTTTTAAGTTATTGAGTTTGTTCTTTAGATCTTGTTAGACCAACCATCCAACATCTGTCGTAAACAATCCTTGTTATGACTACTTATTGAGAAGTTCTGTATGGATCTTCTCAGATTCCATATGTAGGTTTCCCATGGTCTCTAGTTGTGCCCTTTTTATTTTGGGACTGATCAGAAAAACAAGATGGACAATAAGTAATCATTTTGTATTCAGCAGTTATAGATTTTCATTGTTATTTCTTAGAAAAATTTTCAAATTTTATCAGTTGTTGAATTTATCAAACCCCTTTGTTTAAGTATTTTGTAAGAGTTTGTCTGTTTTTCCAAATCATTTGAGTAATAATGGGACCTTATGCAGTTGTAACTCTTAACGTGATTTCTGGTATTGTCCAACCTCTTTTATGGAAATTATGGCTCTATGACAAAATTCTTCCTAAGAACATGTCTGGCTATCCCATCAATTATTTTTCATCAAATGCTTATCACATTTTGTGGGTAATGACCTACTATACTAGAGCTATAAATGGTGAAAGGTTTTATTTGTTTCCATGGAGATGTTAAAGCTTTATGTTGTTGTTGACCATCATGACATCATCAAAGAGATCGGTGAGGATATCTATCTATTGTTTCTATCTAATGTAGTTATTCTGTTTTCATGAATTTAGCAAAAGTTGTATTATACATTACGTATATGATAAACAGAATATTGCATGTGTTGAATCTTACATGATTTGAACTTGATGATGAAATTTGTTGTTATCAACTTGATTATTCACTTTACTGATTTTTATTTCAGAGACATTCCAGTAAACTTAGATTGAAGGATGGACCATGATTTACAAGACTACCTGAAGACAGCTGTGGAAGTAGCCAGGGTAGCAGGCAATGTATGTGGATATGATTGTCAGTTCACTGTTTCCTTGACACAATTCTTCAAAAAATGAAAATCTATTTTGTAATTGTATTTTAGCAATGGCAGGGATTTATAATAAAATCAATAATTGCTAATTGTCATCATTTATGTCATGTTTTATAAGGAAATGGCAGAAGTTGAATTCTAGGGTACACCATATTTTTAATTTGTGTTCATCTTTCTCCTTCCATCCTTCATATTGTCTGGGCTCTATTTGCTATACTACTTGTCACTGGAACTTCATACATGTGGCTTGGGTTCACTGAGGTGTGTCACAATGTTATTTTGTTTATTATGTTATAGTTTGCCATTGATTTACATCAAAGACAAATTGTTTAGTTGCTATTTCCTACTCTACTTGTCGGTGGAACTTCATACTAAGGGTAAACATAAGTTACTCTGAAGTTCATTTGGAAGTTATATCGCTTATATGTTTGAATTTCTGATATCGCTTGCTTTCATTTGTGATATCTCCGAATTCCTTCACATTGATGTGTAATTAAATGGTGAAATGCAATGACGTGAACAGATGTAATGGTAAAACAGCTTTCCTGTAAACTTCCTGCACGTTTATTCTCAATAGTAATACTGACACTTTTCTTTATTGAATACGGGCTCTGTCAAACATTCAATGTTACTCCACTTAGCATTCAGTAGGAGACAGTTATTGGTGGAATTGTTTGATTTATGGTACAAGATAGGTTTGCTGTTTTCTGTTTAGATGGTTAAAAAAGCTTACTATGTGGACAAGTCAGTAGTTACAAAGGAAAGCTTTGCTGATTTAGTGACGGAGACTGACCAAGCTGTGGAGAGGAAAATCATAGAGTCATTAGAAAAGAAATATCCCACACACAAGTAGGTACTCATATCTAATGATGTCACTTCTTAGTGTGGAACCATAGTATTTGAACATCATCTGTTTTATCCGAGTGCCTAAGATACTGCCTGTGAACTTTAAATATGGAAGCCAGATGTGTTCTTGCGTTTTTGTTTGTCTGTAAATGAATTAGCATTGGTGTCAACATTTCAACTACCAAAACAAGATTGAGACTGACAGTTTACTTTTCTAATGGGAAAGAAAAACAGATGTGCTTCCAGTGTGAATGTCTCTATTATTGTTTCTACTAACCCTAATTTTTTTTCAAAATTTTGGCAAAACAATTATACTGTAAACCCCATGTTGATTTTGCTCATGTTTTTTTTAACTGGCTATCCCCAGAAAAACATGTGCCCTGAGATGTTTGACATATATTTACACAGACTGATGTCAGAAATTCTCTTGATACCTTTCTGTGAAGGGGATGGTCGCCAGACCAACACAAGTAAATAGGGCATTAGCTTGGCTTTCATATTATGGTTGATGTAAAAAAAAACTTAATATTTGTGAAGTTATCAACTTATCAAATGCATTTCTTGATTCTGTAAACACTTCTCCGAAAATACTTAAAATTCACATGAAAAAGCAGAAACCAAAACCGATGTTTGTGCTTTTTTGTAATTCAAAAAGTAAAATTAGAATCAACTGCTTAGTTAATGTCAACCAGGAGTGATTTTGTGCATCAAGTGACCAAAATTGTATTTATGTCCGAGATGTGTTAAAATCTTCAATAATCTTCTGATGAATCCTAAAACCTGTGATGAAATCAGTAATGAATTCCTTCTATGAATTGAAAATCTTAGAGAGATTATTTCTTTCTGAAGTGACTATTAACTTCATTAGCTATATTCTTCGAGATTGTACAAATTTTGATGTTAATATGCTCATGCATAGTTTTAACTATATCTGATACATAATGTATTAGGCACAGCATAATTGTTTGTGTGTTTGTAGATTTATTGGAGAGGAGTCTGTAGCTGAAGGAAAGAAGTGTGAATGGACTGACACTCCGACATGGATAATTGACCCGATTGATGGAACGTCCAACTTTGTCCATAGGTAAAATGCTAGTATATCTTAATAAACCATTGTAGTTACTAGGTTTGTTTAAGTTTATTTTTTATTTCAGTGAAAACATTTTGGATGAAAGGGTACTAAGTCTATTTTTTATAACTATAAATTAATTACATTTTGTTTAGAATTTATTTTCGCAAGGAGAGTTAATCAAGTATTTGTACAGACAGGTATTGGGGTCAAACTAATAGCCCATCATTCACAAATTTAAAGCTATTTCTAGATCACCGTTTGCAAAATCAATTGTCTGAAGAAGTAAGTTTGTGAGATAAAGTATTCACAAAATTTTAATAATTTACAGTATTCAAATTTATTTGAAATATTGTATGTACAATTACAGCAAATATTGAAATTGATTTTTATCTCAGTAAACTGGAAAATATTTTTCTTGATGGCTATTAGTACTTACTATGTGTGTTTTGGTACTGATTTAATAACTTTCTTCAATTCATAGATTTGGCATTTTATCTCAGTTTCTCAGGAAATATAACTAAAATGTATGGCTTGATGATAGTATGTATAAATGAGACTATTTTGTATATCATTTTTCATCAGTGTTTACTTGATATAGCCCAATTCCAGCTGTTTATCTGTTCTGTTTCAGTATTCCTTACAACTGTGTATGTATTGGTCTGGGAATCAACAGAAAAGTGAGTCATTTCTATGTTTTACTTAATATCTTTGCAATTATGACTTATTTTTGATATCACATTTCTAATAATAAGATCTGAATAAATTTTTTTTCTGAATTTCTGAAGGGAATATTTGGATATTTAAATTATTCAAGTCTCAAGATTTGAAGCCACCAGTAGACCCTTTTTTAACAAACTGAAGTCTTTTTTAAAAACTAGTGCAAGCTGCTCTTTCCTGTGATCCATTTATCATCTGTTGCTCCCTTTCGCTTTAAAACCATCCTGGTTCTGGACACCTGAATGGATTTGACGAGATCTGTTCTAGAGCTTCTCAGGGAGAATGAGGCTACCATAAATAGGGTCTGACCTCTTTAGGGATTCTTTTTTTATTCAGAGAATGGGCTTTTAAACAATGTCATCTAGAGCATCCAAGTAAATGTGGACTTAATTTGGTAACATAGAGGGTGTGGTCCGCCCTTTGGAGGAAGAGGAAAGGCTCACAATGGGTGAAATACAGGAAAATCTTTACAATCCCTCTTTTGATCTGGAAATTCTTTTATCAACAGAATATATTAACCCCAGGGTAGAGGCAGAAGGATAGAGGCAGAGGGCCAGAACTTAAGAAAGAAAATTATTATAAATCATTGAAATCTTTTTATCTCTGGAAGAAAGGATTTTGATCAAATTAGTCTCTTTTTGTTTATTCTTAAACATGTTGAACGATAATCACGGTTTTACTGCACATTCCTGTATCTTATATATTGGGGAGATTTTTGTTGTTATTTATATTTAATAATACCATTTTAATTTACAGATAGTGCTGGGTGTGGTTTTTCTCCCTGTAACTGACCAGATGTATACAGCAGTGAAAGGCCAAGGTGCATTTTGTAACGATAAAAGATTATCTGTGTCAAATACATCGGGTAAGTACAATTTGTTCTGTCTGTCTGAAAAAAGGAAACATTTCTGTATATGAAGGAGATTTTTGTAAATGTAGTTTTAACTTGTAGTAGACTTTTTCTAAAATCATTTCCTCCACTGTATTCCCTGGTGATGTGAATTAAGTTTAGGATAAGTCTGTGTGAAGTCACATTGCTTTAACTTTAAATGGACCATCCTAATGTCAAACAAGCTAATTGTCAAATGAATGGAGGCCATGGCATCTTAAGAGACAAAATTAATAAAAACTACTTGGTAATCAACAAGGCAAAGTTTGTGCAACAAGTACAAATTAATTTCAAGCTGATTGAGATGGAGTGTCCCTGATACTAGCTAGTATTGCAGTTTGTGTAACCTAGTATTACCAGGGTTACATCATAACCTCCCCCCACAGGAAAGAACTTGTCCTCAAGTTTTCCAGGGGTTATACCGATGCTTATGGTACAAAAATTCCTACATAGGCACCAATGTAACAATGGTCATTCTTTATTTCATTGCTTCCACTAATATTCAAACCTAGAACTCCTGGTTTACTTGTCTGATGGTCAACTCAAAATCAAGAGTGTTAACTCCTGACAAATGACTGCAAGGCTAAATTGCATTTTTAATTGTAAATGTACAGAAACAGTAAGATTTGTTCAAAAACATTCTATCATGTTCAATTAATTCTTATTGGTGAGTTCCACCAGGCCTTTTCTGAATAAGATTTCTATGAACTTCTTGCTATAGATCTGTACATTGAAAGGTGTTGTTATATCCTTGTGAACAGAAAATCAAAATTCAAAATTTTGTGATTATTTTCATATTTCTTAAATAAAAGTTATAGTTTCAATCACAACACACCATGCATAACCAGTAAGTGAGTTAAAGATATTTTTCATATTCCAATTCAGACATGATAGTTTTTATTTGTGAACTTCTGATAATTTACATTATTGTTCTTTATGAACAGACCTGAAGAATGCAGTTGTGTACACTGAAGCTGGTAACAGTAGACAGCCAGATACCGTCCTCACCAAGATTGAAAACATGAAAAACATTGTCTTTGCCTCTCATGGGTAAGTAATCAAAGATTACATTTTACAATTATGTAGTTTTGTAAGATCAAAAATTAAGTTACTATTACTTCTGAAGCATTGTTTATAAGGTTGGATTACTATTCCATTGTGACAAATGTCAGGATATAGGAATGTTCCTGTACATAACACTTTTAAACCAAACTCAACATTGTCAGCACTCTAGCATCTTCAATTCAGGATAGATTTCTGCCAAACTTCAAACTTGTCAGCACCCTATTGATTTTATTTTTTGAGAGATTTTCAGCAAACTTCACACACGAATAATGAGTAATTATATACCCAAGGAGTTACAAACTCCATGAATGCCAACTGAAAGCAATTCAATGCTCAAATAAAGGACAATATGTACTACATCTCAGAGGATTTGGATCTTCTGTTCTGAGGGTCAGTCAGGGTCACTGTTACTATTTTTAGAAATTTTTGTCATCACTCTTGTGTCTTTAGATCAATTCCACATTCATATAAGGACTATAATACCACACAAGTTTGTGTTCCAATGTTGCAGGTTCCAGGTCAAGGCCACAATTACTATTTTTAGAATCTTTTTGTCACCATGGACCATCTCCTTTATTGCACTTACGTCAGGGTAGAACCTCATGGGTCTTTGTATCATCTGTGATGCCTTCTTCTTGCCAACATGAAAATAAAATTCTATTTAATCAAGAGCATTGTAATTTCTTTGGTTTTGTACCACTTTCTGCCACAGCATTCGATGTTTTGGTTCCGCAGCTGTCAACATGTGTATGGTGGCTCAAGGTAGTGGGGATGCATACATCGAATATGGAATTCATGTCTGGGACATTGCAGCCGCTGGTATCATCGTTGAAGAGGCAGGTGGAGTTCTCATGGATCCTACAGGTATATTGACATAATTCAATATTGTATGACATAAAACTAGAGTTGGGTTTCAAAGTAGTATTTCAACAGTATTTTGTGAAATTATCGAAGATAATGAAAGTTGTGTCTTCATAAAAATTGCATCTGAAGAATGCAGTATACATTTAATAAATTTTATTCACAATTCGTATAGTGTCAATCAGCAATGACTATATATGTTTTGACAGCCATGAAATCTTGCAATCCCACCACAGGACTTACTGTAGTGTGGTTCTAATTTCATGTCTGCTTATTCAGTGATTCAAACTTGCTGTCCATAGCACTGCATGCTAAATAAAGAGGATGATAATCTGAGTTAGGGATGACTGATTAGGTTGAATCCTGATTCATCGTTGATTTAGTAAGAGACCTACTGTGGGATTGTGTTTGTGGTCAAAAGGTCGATCACACAGGTCAATGTAGCTAAAACTAGAAATAGAAAAGGCAGAAAGAATAAAACAGCACATATCACAGGTCAAGTGGTCAGTCATTGTCCAGAACATGTGCGATACGTAACTAACAATTGTATGCCTATTCCGGGCCTACTAGACATGAACAACAGACAGAATGAAAGTAACTAATGCTTACACGAATGAACACAAATAATATATGAAATATAGAAATAACCACTTGCAATGCAGGGTGCCACATACATAATGTTGTGTTACATACTAGTTATAATTCCCATGTCTTGTTCCAATCAGAGTATTTGTAAAGTTTCTTCAAAAATGTTAATTAAGGCACCGCTAGGGACATGTGTTGCTTGCAACACTAACTGTAAGCTTGTTCAATTTTCATAAAGTTATTAAACATTAACCACTATTATTCCTTGACTTTTTGTGACCACAGGATCAGAGGTGGACTACCTTAGTCGAGGAATTCTTTGTGCCAGTTCAGCCAGTGTAGCGACCAGCATCAGCAAAATCATCAAACCCGTGGAATTTGAAAGAGACTGAAATTTTTTAATGGGACATTTAATGAAGAAAAATGTATATATAAATATTATTATTAATGTGTTACACAAACCTTATGTAATATTGATGATACTTTTAATCTAAATATGACAGGTTCATTTGTATTGTAATCAGAAAATTGTACATGTACACTGCTCTTAGAGTTTGTACATTTTTAGCTCACCTATTCAAAGAATAGAAGGGGCTTCTTATACTCTAGTCTCCTAAGTATTGTCAAAATTTTCACCTTTAACATTTTACAGGAAGACATACAGTATCTGTTACTGTTGGGTTACTTCATTTGGAGAAATATTGTCATTACCATGCAGTATCTCTAACACTGTTGATTATCCTTAGTGTCTAATAACCAATAAGAACCAGGAATACAGACTGACAGTATCCATAACTCTAATAACTCTATCCTGGACACTAAAGTGGTAAAACAGGGTATGATGTAAATTGTTTTAATCATTTATGCTTTAATATCCAGAAAACTTTCACATTTCATAGATAGCATACATGTTGTTGACTATAGGTTAAGACAACACGAACAATTCCTTCCAAATTCATGAATTATTCGTGCATCAAGTTGTTGACATATTTTGGGTCCAAGCAACCTGTCATCAGAACAACAATAACGGATTGTGTTTATGTCGCTATAAACGATCTTAATTTTGCGTTTAATTTATTTTCACAGATTTTGTGATGACTGCAAATTCACAAAAAGATAATTGTTGTAAAACAGGAATGAATACAACTCGTGTTGTTTAAGTTAATTGCCTTGAAGATGTGATATTAATAGTTTGTTGGGTTTATGGCACTGTAAACAGCCAATATTTCACTTTGAAGTCTCCTTGTAGTAGCTGGTGGCTACCTCAGTGAACAACATATGGGAGGCCTGACACAACCATGTCGGTACACACCATTCTGTTTCAGAAAAACAAACTGCCACAGACAAGGAATGTTGAAATACATACCTTGGATTATCACCTGAGGTTATGTATGCAAACACCCTTAATGAGCTATCATGCCCCCCTCCCCCTACACACAAAAAAAAGGTGTTTATATTTTGTGATTTGGAATTTGTGAGTCATCAGGCTCAAAAATAGGGGTTTACATAAATCTACTTTAAATCTCGCCTACATTTGAATGTGTAATGTATATGTGTTTACTACATAAAAAGTGCTAAGTCTTTTTGTTTGAATATAGATGTTGTATTTGAGTAGATTTGTTTCAGTGATGTAATATTTGTTTTTTTCCATTGTTTGCATGTGTAATAGCAAGAAAATTGTTGTGTGCATATTTGCATAGAAAAAATAAAAATCTATACTTTGAAAAAGCTTCAAAATATCCCCACCCCATTAGGAGAAAAATGTATGAGATATTTAGTACAAATCAGACTCGGCTTTAAACTACCGTATGACTGTGTTTGCCTTCCATGATTGGCAATATCCTTAGTCCATACTTCTTTGATCTTAATTGATCAGAAATTTACCAGTTGAGGACAGAATAAGCATGACAGAAATTTAGTTTGTAACTTTTTATAGGACAATTTAGTTATACTGAGTAAAAGCCACAATATACGCATTATTTGGCAAATTAACAAGATTCAGAAAATTTCTACAAAAATGTTTACTTAGTAATCATACAAAGAAAAGATTAAAACGGTTAAGCTGAGTGGTAATTATGAGGATATCTTTGATATCAAAACTAATATGGATTAATAAATGTGGAACCCACTTGAAATACAAACCAATGTTATATGAAGTTCAGAAGGCTGTAACGAAGAAACCATGTGACCAATATCTCAAACAGGCGTAGGTGGTGCCTTTTACAGGCAAAGTGAGATGTTGTGTGCTTTTTCATGACATCATAACACAGGTTGAAGTGTGTAGTCATTCTAGGACTTGTATGCAGCCTGAATAGGACAATATTCTACATGTTTATACATGTAGTAACTACCGACTTCTCATCTAACATCTAAACCATTTTCCATGTGTAGTTCAGTCGTATGTTTACAGCACAAACACAAATGCATGATATTGTCTTGAGTGTTTCTTAGATAAGTGAATTTTTACTTTGTTGCTATGAATAGATAATTTTTTTCCCGTTTTTTTTCCTCAGTGAAAGCTACTCTTCAGTAAAATGTTTTATATCTGTAATGGTTCTTTTTTATACCATGAAGGTATATATATAAGTAGTCATCTTACTTTATATTTTTCGTACTGAAAGTATTCCATTAAAATATGACTGCTTGTCACTTCTGTATAATTTGCCAAAAAGGGATAAAGGGATAATGAGCTAATTTTATTGTACTAAATCTGAAGTTTATTATATGTTGAAACAATTATGAAGGAAATATTAATCATTGTAAACCCACCAACCTACACATAGTAAAATGTACCGGTAATTTATAACACTAGAAAGATGTGAAGTCGGGTCGTGGGGTCAAATACTTTCTTCTGTCATCATACAGGATTTCGTAAATACCAGATAAGAAAAATGTTACTGAGGATGAAAAAAGTTTTTTGTTACATGTACTGTAGTTTATTTTTTATTTTTGTACATGTTACAAAGCAAATTTTGAGCAACATTTGCTCAACATAATAAAATATATTTGTCATACATGGCATTTTTATCTTTATAAACACCATTTCTGGGTCAACTTTCCATTATATATAAAGTGTTTTTGACAATAATCCATTAGTCTGCTGTGGTTGTTGTAAATACAGTAGTATTACCTTCAGTTGGTAATTAATTTATCTCAGCTCTGCCTATCAGTTGACCAATCTATACAGGAATGTTTCCTGGAAATAGCACAGGATGTTCATGCTATAAATGTACTTGATTTAGAAGTTAAATTCATCACCTTGGACACTTTGCTCAAAAAGAATTGTCATTGGAATGCCTCTCAACCTTTCCCACATTGACATGGTCACCTGTGATAATTTGGATAATAAGACCTAACAGGTGCTCATGAAGCAATGTGTCCTATAGAAGAGCGAGTATTATTTGAAATCAGTATCATTTGTAATTATCATATGCTGTCAATTTTAACATTTACGGTGTATATGAAATCTGGTTTAAAAGATCCAAAGCTAGGACATCCTTCATCTTTTAGGATTTAGGATCACCTACAACCTCTTGACAAGTATCATATTAAACATCCTTGGCTCATGAAGATGATACTCTATGAGAGTCATTCCACTTCCTGTTCAGTAGGAATAACCAGTTTTATAGATGGTGATTACTGCAGCAGATCACCCAAGTGCCTAGATGATTTAAGCAAAAACAAGATGTCACACATGGAATCTTCAATTCTGCCATGAAATGTTCTAGGGGTGCAGAGACAAAAATGATCATAACCACTGTAGTATCCAGGATGAAAAAACCTATTGACACTAGATTTGGTGAGTCAGGTATTGTCCTCAGATATTTCTTATTAAGTTCAGATCTTTTTCACAATCAAGATGGATGTCATGGCCAACATCTGGAAAACAGTGTTACCCCTACTTCTGAAAGATTGAGAAAAGTCTACTACTGACAAGTTGCTTCTCAGGTGAAATAAAAAGATACCCAGAAACATCTATAGAGTCTTGATGGTAAAATTTCCATCAAGGCTACTAATTAATACTGATAATTCTGTATGGACACTGGAATAATGAGCAAGGCAGAAATAATGACGGAGGGAATGTTATCCATTGAAAATGGTACACAAATGTCATTAGTGTTTAATAATTCAACGCTTCTTTTTACACATACCTATATACACAATGTGTAACAATCACAAAGTGATCCAGATTTTGAAGTTGACAATTGTCCGTTTTACTAAAATATAAAAAGATCAAAGGTTATAATGCCCTGAACATTTTAATTGTTTTCAAAACATCAGTACAATTGGGTAAATTTTTAAAGCCAAGGTGTAGATATATACACAAAATTACAAACAAAGGAACAACTTAGTGCATTGTTTATATTTTACCCCAAAAACTCAACTGGGACACATTGTAAGTTACGATGGTAGTATAACCCGGGGAATACAGAATAACAAGATCAATCATCACAAGGTGTAAAACCAATTCACCAGCACTCAATAAAATTTCTAATACAACTACAGCAAATGTGACATTATCCACGACCTGTAACAAACAACGTTTATCAGTACATATACCTGGCCAGTGAGCAATTGAACATCTCCACATTAATACTAGATCAAGTCTTTATGATGGAACATAGTAAAATACGTTTTCTGCATATAGAAAATATAATAGATAGTTATCACCAGTTTATAATTACCTATTGTAAATCATGACTTGTTGTGTTTAAAACTGAAGGTCCACTGTTATTGTGAAGTAATATACACATCTTTACCACTAACAGTAACATTTAAATACAAAGTTCCTAAGATTCACGATCAATAGTTCACATTCACATTCAAACTGATTGTTGGTGCAATGTAAAATATGTTTTTAACATTAACCTGTGTATAAGCCAACAAAATGTATTAAGCACCCGTCTGAATTCAGAATATTAATATTCAATACTTAATTTCTTGATCTTCCAGCAGCACATTTTTCTCTGCCTCCCTATTTCTTTATTCAAATTCTATTTACCAAATGTTACCCTGCACTTTATCTGTAATACATGGCTATAACAGGTACATGTGCACAACAGATCCTATATACCAAATGTTACCCTGCACATTATCTGTAATACATGGCTATAACAGGTACATGTGCACATCAGATCCTATATACCAAATGTTACCCTGCACATTATCTGTAATACAAGGCTATAACAGGTACATGTGCACATCAGATCCTATATACCAAATGCTACCCTGCACTTTATTTAATGTTAGTAGTCATAATGATGCTTGAATGACTTAAAATACCTAGTCAAATTTGTATACAACCATAACACACACTAGAACAGAGAATCACACATAAATCAACAGGAAAATGCTTCACTTCTTCAGTGAATGAAAATAATTTTCACGCCATCTGAATAGATAATTCAGAAGAAAAAAAAGAAAAGAAAATCAAAACTACAATAACAAATATGTTTGCTGATTTGCAACTTGTTTTAAACTTTAAAACATCCAGTAATTTTCCTCTACAATATCTTTGGAATTCATCATACGGAGACGATTATATACATGTTCACAGTTTACTTAAAACAGAAACAATCACAAAATTTCAGCAACAATTAAAATTCAATTTACTTTTTGTACTCTTTTTGGGACTCAATTGATCTAGTTAAGTCTTTAAACCATATACATGTAATAGATTTATCACTAATTTAAACAATCAAGTCTTCTACGATGTGTTGTTAGACATGGTTCATAGACTCTGGGACCAGGGAGACATGGTTCATCGAGACACTTAGAACAGGGCGATATGGTTCAAAGAGATTCTGAGAACTGGGAGACATGGTTCATTAGACTCTGAGACCAGAAAGACATAGCACAGAGATTCTGAGAATTGGGAGACATGGCACACAGAGATTCTAAGACAAGGAGAGACATGGCACATAGAGATTCTAAGACCAGGAGAGACATGGCACAGAGAGATTCTAAGACCAGGAGAGACGTGATTCATAGAGATTCTAAGACCAGGAGAGACGCGATTCATAGAGTCTCTGAGACCAAGAGAGACATGGCACATAGTCTCCGAGACCAGGAGAGACATGGCACATAGAGATTCTAAGACCAGGAGAGACATGGCACATAGAGATTCTAAGACCAGGAGAGACATGGCACATAGAGATTCTAAGACCAGGAGAGACATGGCACATAGAGATTCTAAGACCAGGAGAGACGCGATTCATAGAGTCTCTGAGACCAAGAGAGACATGGCACATAGTCTCTGAGACCAGGAGAGACATGGCACATAGAGATTCTAAGACCAGGAGAGACATGGCACATAGAGATTCTAAGACCAGGAGAGACATGGCACATAGAGATTCTAAGACCAGGAGAGACATGATTCATAGAGGTTCTAAGACCAGGAGAGACGTGATTCATTGATTGATCAAGAAATTTCAACGCCTTTCTGATAATAAATGTTATGGACTTTTCCGGATCTTTTAAGGAACAGTGCTTGATGCATTCACGTTCGCATTATGAGTTGTAATTAACCATTGTTTGTTTCCACTTTCATGGTAGGTAACCATAATATTTTTGTGTTTTTGGGCTATAAAAGAAAAATATAACTTAAGACTATCCCAGAACACTCTTTAAAAAACATGCATATTTTAAAATATCTTAGGAAATTAATTTGGTTTGAATTTTATTTCAACATCACAGACATAAATTATCAAGACTTTTTAAGGTATTGATGCCAAATTCCATGTCTCAGCCATGACATTGAGTTCCAGAACTTTTCCAGAAAAGTGTTGACATTCAAGGACTTTTAATATCTGTATGAACCATGTAAAATGATGGCATATCCCTGTGAAATACTGTGAGTATTTAATGTCCCTTAAAATTACCAGTATGTCTATAACAAATACAGGTTAAAGACAGCTATGTCAGAAACCCTACCTAACAGTTCATTGTTTCCGATTAGACCTTGATGATTTTGAAGTAATAGTACATTTCTCCCAAGAAATTCCAGCAAACTATTTTAACTGTTCAAATAAATGTTTCAATAAAGTGTTTACTAATATACTTCTGATATCTTTCAGCAGGCAAGTAAAGTGTCTCAGTTACTACTGTAAATTTGGTAAAAAACGTTAAGAAGCATAAAATTCATCCATAAAAATATCTTACAGATTTCAAAAAAAAAAAAAAAGTTCTTTGTCATTATCAGCTTAAAAAATCAAATCTCAAAAACAAAGAGATTCTTCTAAAAGTTGCCAAAATTTCACATTTAGACAAAACAAGATTGATAACAGAACATCTTCCTATCAATGCTCTTTAGTGAATGCACTAAACACCTCATTAAGTTGTTGAGTAACTCGTATAAACGTCGTCCTGCGACTCAACTCCTTCAGTTTACCGGCACCAACATATGTACATGTGGACCTAACACCTCCAAGGATGTCCAAGATGGTATGCTCCACATCACCCCTGTACTCAATTTGGACTGTCTTTCCCTCAGACGCCCTGAAAAGACAGCAGACATGAGGTGAAATCCTCTACAATTTAAGACTTTTCCTTTATTTTTATTTATCTTAGTACAGGGTTTTCCATGAGAGCCGGTTGCCGGCCAATTTGACCGGCTACTCTGATCATTTGGCCGCCTACACCAATCCAGTTCCGTAATAATGTTCCGTACACCACTACACGTACACTGCAGGCCAGCCTCCTACTTTCACTACACAGCCTACTACTAACAAAATTATGGAAAACCCTGATAGTAAAAGACTTGCATAAACTGCTGCCCTTGTACCTTGCAGTGAAGCTACCAGAGGACAACTTACAGTCTATCTCAGAAACCAAAATCCTCATAAACTGAAACATTTCTTGTTAAAGAAATATCTTCTGCTGATGGACAAGTGAAAGTTAAGTTATTATAATAAGTACATTTTGTGTAAATTTGAAAGTTTGTTCCTCCCTAGGAATCCATACAAAAGTTGTCGCTAGTTGGTAATACTTTCATATATATGCTGGGAATACCTGTACTCTGCAACACCTCCAGCATGTTTTTTCATGGCTGTAGCTGAACTCATGCCATAAAACAGTTTAAACTTCTTTCCGTTCTTTTCCACAATTTCTCCACCAGATTCAGTGTGCCCAGCAAACATACCGCCCAGCATGACAAAGTCAGCACCAGCTCCAAATGCCTTGGAAACATCTCCTGGACAGGTACAGCCACCGTCCTATTGATGGATACAGAGTAGGCATTAATACTGATGCCAAAACAGCTATCATGATAGAATTGCAATAGTGAAAACACCATTTAATAACATTGCGATCGTCTAGTGAATATAGCACTACGATCACAATTCTTTTTTTACCTTTGAAAGATCTTTTTTCTAACCCAGAAATAAAGCAAGGTCACAATTATATTTAGATAATGTTATAGCTGAAAAAAATTACATATTTAGATAATGTTATAGCTGAAAAAAATTACATATTTAGATAATGTTATAGCTGAAAAAAAATTACATATTTAGATAATGTTATAGCTGAAATTTTTTTTACATATTTAGATAATGTTATAGCTGAAAAAAAATTTACATATTTAGATAATGTTATAGCTGAAAAAAAATTTACATATTTAGATAATGTTATAGCTGAAAAAAAAATTACATATTTAGATAATGTTATAGCTGAAAAAAAATTTACATATTTAGATAATGTTATAGCTGAAAAAAAAATTACATATTTAGATAATGTTATAGCTGAAAAAAAAATTACATATTTAGATAATGTTATAGCTGAAAAAAAATTTACATATTTAGATAATGTTATAGCTGAAAAAAAAATTACATATTTAGATAATGTTATAGCTGAAAAAAAATTTACATATTTAGATAATGTTATAGCTGAAAAAAAAATTACACTTTGGTTCTGTTTTTGCTATATCTTTGTATTATTTATTTTACATATAAACATGCTATTCTGTAATACAATTTTCATATCAGTCTTAGTTTTAAAATAAATTCTGTATCAGTTTCCTCTTTATTTTAAACTTTTTCATGTTTTAAAAGGTGTATAATTAACAAGTGATATAATTATTTGGTTTTGACAGCAATTTTGACACACTTCATACACTGTATACACAGCTTTGTCAAAATGAAAAAGTTTTAAGTGTGATAAGTTTTGAGACACTTTCTTGTTAATATTTACATAACCAAAATAATGCCATATTGCTGATTTTGCCTTTATATTGGGAACAAATTTTAAAATGCTGCTACTTTCTGCCATATTATTTATCAAATTGGGTCATTTCAAGAATGGGTGTAAAATATGGATACAGAGTTAAAGAAATCACTATGTCCTTTAAACGTATATTTCGTAGATTTAGAAACAGTAAAAACTTGTGCTGAAAATTCTGTTTCCATTTTAAGTAGGTGATTTGTGCAGATCTTGTATTTCTTTAACGGTCATGATAGTTAACGATTTGAAAATAAGCTACCTATCTATTGCTATCGAGAGCAAAGTTATCGCAATACATTCATAAGTCAATCTATCACCGTTAGTGTGAAGTGAACATTATGAAATCAAAACTATGTAGATCAGTACCAAATATATACATGTCCATTCCAACAGGCTGTTTTTATTAATTTTGTTGAAGGCTTTTTGCTTGATTTTCTATTTTTAGCAAAATCAATACTTAAATAGATCAGAATATGTGTATTACATGTCAAGGAAGCCTTAATTATGAACAGTATCAACAAATGATTGAGAATTGCATTGTTACAATTTGGTTGCACTAGTGTGTACTAAAGGGAATTAAAACTTGCGTCATCATAACTATACCTGAAGAAACTTGTCAACAGTGTATGTATAACTGTGTCAGATTAATATATTAAGACTAAAGCCATCCTTACAGAGATAATGTGGCCGCCAAGACCATGAGCAGCATCCGCACACTCTATGACTGCACTGAGCTGTGGGTAACCAACACCAGTCTTCTTGCGTGTGGTGCAAACACTTCCTGGGCCAATGCCAACCTTGATGATGTCAGCTCCTGACAAGATCAACTCCTCAACCATCTCCCCTGTCACAACATTACCTGCCTACAAACACAACAAATGTATGTAGATTTAAACATCTCCCCTGTCACAACATTACCTGCCTACAAACAGAACAGAGGTATGTAGATTTAAACATCTCCCCTGTCACGACATTACCTGCCTACAAACAGAACACAGGTATGTAGATTTAAACATCTCCCCTGTCACGACATTACCTGCCTACAAACAGAACACAGGTATGTAGATTTAAACATCTCCCCTGTCACAACATTACCTGCCTACAAACAGAACACAGGTATGTAGATTTAAACATCTCCCCTGTCACAACATTACCTGCCTACAAACAGAACACAGGTATGTAGATTTAAACATCTCCCCTGTCACAACATTACCTGCCTACAAACAGAACACAGGTATGTAGATTTAAACAAGTGAATACTAATATCAAATCATGATCAAAGCACATCTTTCATTTTTTCTTTCCATGCTTATAATAGTAACCAATTACCTGATATCTGCATGTGTCCAATGATTTAAGAACAATTTTTTGAAAATGTACATTTTTCAGACCTAATCCCAAAACTACAATACATTTACATGTACATTTACAACTGAAATTTGTATGCAAAACAAGTACAATTATCATTATCATGTTTTTTTTTCTGACTGAAATATTGTGGAAAACCTTGATTGATGATACTTAAATTTTCATGTTTTTGTACAATGAGTGAAAAATTTCCAAGCAATGCATCTTGCTTTGATGGAATTTGTCTCAAGAGCGACTCAAATTCATCACCCTATAAATTGACCAAAGCAAGATTCAATATTTATTTTAAATAAGATGGTTCAAGACATAAACCAGATAAGAATCAAGGAAGGAAATTAAACTTTGAAGACGTGACAATGTAATATGTAGAAACACTCTGATATTTTACCATAATTGTGTGATTTGGGAATCTTTTTCTGACATCTCTGACAAATTGAACAAAATGTTCGGAGTAACCATTGGCAACGTCGACACAGATGTATTTGATGTCAGGAACGGCCTCTAGTATATCACAGATCTTCCTCAAGTCTCCTTCACCTGTTCCAGTGCTCACTGCAACATGCTGTCATAAAAATACTCAACAGATTAGATTTCTGTCTTATTTCCTGATTTTAGTGCAATTTGTAATATAAATGCCAGAATTATTACTCTAGTAATTTTATACATGTATCATTATAGGTCTCAGTTCATTAGGGTATCTTAACTTCCACAATGTTCCTCTAAATAGTACAGTTTTATAAAACATTGTTTCCCAGATATGTGTATGATTTCTCAAGAGAATTATATTCCGACGAGTCCTCTCAGTGAATATCCAATTCTGGATTTGATGACAAACCAATTTTACATGTTTTAAAATACCATATCTATAAATATGTATACAAACCTGTATGATATCTTTGGCTTCTTCTGCAAACTGCTTCCAGGCCTCCACAGAGTAGTGCTTGTGTATACAAGTGAACATGGCATGCTGCAAAAGTAAATGATTTGTTTGTTTGATTATCTCATGAACAGCCCTTATGGTTGGGTTCTCTTTGTAGAAGCTGGTGGGTACCTCACCGGGTTCTCTTTGTAGAAGCTGGTGGGTAACTCACCGGTTCTCTTTGTAGAAGCTGGTGGGTAACTCACTGGGTTCTCTTAGTAGAAGCTGGTGGGTACCTCACCGGGTTCTCTTTGTAGAAGCTGGTGGGTACCTCACCGGTTCTCTTTGTAGAAGCTGGTGGGTAACTCACCGGGTTCTCTTCGTAGAAGCTGGTGGGTACCTCACCAGGTTCTCTTTGTAGAAGCTGGTGGATACCTCACCGGGTTCTCTTCGTAGAAGCTGGTGGGTAACTCACTGGGTTCTCTTTGTGGAAGCTGGTGGGTACCTCACCGGGTTCTCTTTGTAGAAGCTGGTGGATACCTCACCAGGTTCTACTTGTAGAAGCTGGTGGGTACCTCACTAGGTTCTCTTTGTAGAAGCTGGTGGGTACCTCACTGAACAACATATTGGAGGTTTGCTATATGCTATCCAGATGAATATAGGACAAGTGTCTTGCCCAAGACACAACCACATCAGCACAGACCAGTCCATTTATTAATTTCCTAAGAAACTCAATCTGCTACTAGGTTGGAACATGGGACCGTGAACGTCTGGTCTTCACCAAGGGTTACGTAGACAAATGCTAACAGACTGAACTATCATTGCCCATTTTAAAAAGAGTATCAGTGAAATTGATGAATGCTACCAAAAATTATTTTACTGGACACCAAATTCAACAAAGGGCAATAATTCTGTAATCATGGGGTTGTCGGTCTTGAATTTAATTCACTGCAAATTGTCTTAGTATAACTTATGTCTACACCAAATTGAAATCCTAGATTCAATGCAAAGAAATTGATGCTCTAGACACAAATTTGATGTAAAGGTAATAACTCGGTAATTAAGGGGTTGCAGGCCCCAAATTAAGGTATACACCAAGTTTCATTACCCTAATTTAAATACAAGCCAAATGGTTCCAACTTTATTACAATGTACATTGTCTTAAGAAGACCGAAGTATACACCAACTTTCATCATCAAAATTCAAATGCAAGTAAGCACCAGACACAAAATTTTAACAAAGGACAATAACTCTGTAATATTGGAGTTACAGGCCCTGAATTTGATACACTGAACATCGTCTCAGCAACTATGCCCCCCAAAAATGTTCAGGATAATAAAAAGTAAGAAGTAAATGAACATCTCATCATTGTATACCTTGCCCATAGCCTACAAACATCTCATCATTATAAACCTTGCCCATAGCCTACAATCATCTCATCACTGTATACCTTGCCCATAGCCTACAATCATCTCATCATTGTATACCTTGCCCATAGCCTACAAACATCTCATCATTGTATACCTTGCCCATAGCCTACAATCACCTCATCACTGTATACCCTGCCCATAGCCTACAATCACCTCATCATTGTATAGCCTGCCCATAGCCTACAAACATCTCATCATTGTATACCTTGCCCATAGCCTACAAACATCTCATCATTGTATATCCTGCCCAAAGCCTACAAACAACTCATCATTGTATACCCTGCCCATAGCCTACAAACATCTCATCATTGTATACCTTGCCCATAGCCTACAAACATCTCATCATTGTATACCCTGCCCATAGCCTACAAACAACCCATCATTGTATACCCTGCCCATAGCCTACAATCACCTCATCATTATAAACCTTGCCCATAGCCTACAAACATCTCATCATTGTATACCTTGCCCATAGCCTACAAACATCTCATCATTGTATACCCTGCCCATAGCCTACAAACATCTCATCATTGTATACCCTGCCCATAGCCTACAATCACCTCATCATTGTATACCGTGCCCATAGCCTACAATCACCTCATCATTATAAACCATACCCATAGCCTACAATCACCTCATCATTATAAACCTTGCCCACAGCCTACAAACATCTCATCATTGTATACCTTGCCCATAGCCTACAAACAACTCATCATTGTATACCTTGCCCATAGCCTACAAACAACCCATCATTGTATACCCTGCCCATAGCCTACAAACATCTCATCATTGTATACCCTGCCCATAGCCTACAAACATCTCATCATTGTATACCTTGCCCATAGCCTACAAACATCTCATCATTGTATACCCTGCCCATAGCCTACAAACAACCCATCATTGTATACCCTGCCCATAGCCTACAATCACCTCATCATTATAAACCTTGCCCATAGCCTACAAACATCTCATCATTGTATACCTTGCCCATAGCCTACAAACATCTCATCATTGTATACCCTGCCCATAGCCTACAAACATCTCATCATTGTATACCCTGCCCATAGCCTACAATCACCTCATCATTGTATACCGTGCCCATAGCCTACAATCACCTCATCATTATAAACCTTGCCCACAGCCTACAAACATCTCATCATTGTATATCTTGCCCATAGCCTACAAACAACTCATCATTGTATACCTTGCCCATAGCCTACAAACAACCCATCATTGTATACCCTGCCCATAGCCTACAAACATCTCATCATTGTATACCTTGCCCATAGCCTACAAACAACTCATCATTGTATACCTTGCCCATAGCCTACAAACAACCCATCATTGTATACCCTGCCCATAGCCTACAATCACCTCATCATTATAAACCTTGCCCATAGCCTACAATCATCTCATCACTGTATACCTTGCCAATAGCCTACAATCACCTCATCATTATAAACCTTGCCCATAGCCTACAAACATCTCATCATTATAAACCTTGCCCATAGCCTACAAACATCTCATCACTGTATACCTTGCCCATAGCCTACAATCACCTCATCACTGTATACCCTACCCATTGCCTACAAACATCTCATCATTGTATACCTTGCCCATAGCCTTTGCCATCTCAAATGTTCCTGTGGTGTCCATGTTGGCGACCATGATGGGGATCCCATAGTAATTCTGACCGGAGTTCCTGAAGGTGAATGTTCGAGTCAGATCAACCTACAACAGAGAAAATCATCTAGACTCCACAATCAACTATCAGTCTAACATGATAGTGTTATAATACGTGGTCTAAGGACAATCAAGACAGCTTCTGTTGTTTACCCTACAAACACTACTCACGAGAAATATTACCTATTCCCGCATTAAGACCAGAATATGAATCATCATAACCTCCAAGTCAACTACATGCAGCTAGGAAGATAGGCTTATTACAGAACAATGATAGTATTGTGTGAGAATTTCTAATTAGACAGCTATATATGGGAGGGTTAATTAAATGGTTATATAAGTAAATTCCAGACATAGCTTCTTATAATAGGATAAATGTATGGCCACTGCTTCCTACACATGGCATTTATGCTGTATAGTTGAAATACAATGTCTATATTTTGAAGGCTATATCATACAATTATAGCCTGTTGATGAGGTCAATCAATGATTTTATTGCACCAACCAAAAACAACATTGACCGACGTCAAAGTCTGATGTAGATATTATTCTTGATTGGTGCGTAAATCTTGGATTGACACATATCAACATACTATAATTGCTTTATCAATTTAGACTAAAACTGCTGGAGGAAAACAAAATTTTGATATTTCAAGCATTATCAACAACCACAATAAAACACTTATGGTTCTTATTTCAAGTAAATCACAGCAAAGTGAGGTCTGCAAAAGTAGGGAGACAATGCTTTCCAGGAGGTGGGTGGTACAAACTTGGTAACTCCTCATCCTAATTCCATCTCAGGGAAAATTTTCAAAGTCTCCAGAATCAGCACACAAACTTTTTTATATGTCAAATACTGTAAACCGTCTTGCTGCTGTCAAGGCAGTCTGTTTGACAATGGAATCAATCCAGTCCATCGGGTTTTTAATTTGGTACGTAATGAAGAAGCAAACCTTGTAGAAGCAGCTATTGTTAATTGGTTAGCAATAAATATACGCATCAAAGAGAATAAAGTTAGAGGTGTTCCAAAAATTGAAAGTACCTTGTCACACAAGTCTTTTCTGGTCAATAGAAAACATAGAATTACAATGAAATATATAGAAAATCTGTATGACAGTAATTAAAGACAGCTTAAATAGTATGTATATAATATGTACATGTGGATCTACCTTATTTCAGACAGAAACACGTAACAACTTTTCTCTGTCAGTTTGACTTCTTTTGTTATTTAAAAAAAAAATCTCTATCCTGGTTCTTCATTTTCATTCAAAGAGAACTTTTATTGCTGTCAAAAATTTACATGTTACATCATGTATACTATTCTATTAAATATGCTTCATATGTTTACAAAATATATGTACAGAATATATTATGGAAACAGATTATCCCTCAAGAAAACTTTTACAAGATGTCATGGAACAAAAAAACATGTTCAACTTATATAACTTTCATAGCACAGTATATGAAACAATATATATATCTATATGAAGTTTTATTTCTAAATATTTTCATGTGTAATGGTATTTTATTCATTCAATCAAACCGATATCTTTCACACTGTCAGATATCATGTGTATAACATCAACTGTCCTATTCAATTCAACAAATTAATGACTGGTTCCAAAGCTTTTCTTTTAGACACATAAGCGTGAGGTCACACCTGATCACACAGAATTTTATCAAACAGAATTTGACATTTCACTAGCAAATATTTATTCTATATCAGTAATTAATCTACAATTTATTTTCACAAATCCTTTTCAACTTCATTGCTATCAAAACAACGAGTCCCATAATGTTACATTTAATTACATTTTGTAATTTCTATCAACATTCCATAAGTACAGGAATCACGACATGCATGTTGATTTATCACAGTTAATTGAGTATTTTTTTATAAGTTAAAACAATTTTAAACTGTGTATTACAGGTAAAATGGGGTGTATGTGGGCTTCACAAATTACTATGCAGATATTGATGATTTGGTTTTAGGTTTAATTAAGTAATTCTGACAAATGCATCCACTCTGTTAAAACCACTGCAACCTTGTCAGCAAGGACATGCATGTGTAGCATGTACAGCATGCTCAACAAAACCATAACAATCAGTCTTTGGCAAGGTTTGTAGGAGCTTTCAGTTTATTCAAACACCATTTACAACAAATTTGATTCTGTTTGTTTCACAATTAAACAGGTTTACAAAAATGGACCAGCAAATTTTCTTACATTTTTACTTTTCCGTGATCAAGATATATCTTTATGGTACATTTCAGATGTCAGTCAATACATCTGGTAATTCATTTCAGTTGTCATTCATTTCAGTTGTCATTCATTTCAGTTGTCAGTCTATACATCTGGTAATTCATTTCAGTTGTCAGTCTACACATCTGGTAATTCATTTGAGTTGTCAGTCTATACATCTGGTACATCATTTCTGTTGTCAGTCTATACATCTGGTACATCATTTGAGTAACCAGTCAATACATCTGGTACATCATTTTAGTTGTCAGTCAATACATCTGGTACATCATTTGAGTAACCAGTCAATACATCTGATACATCAATTCAGTTGTCAGTCTATACATCTGGGAATTCATTTCAGTTGTCATTCATTTCAGTTGTCAGTCTATACATCTGGTAATTCATTTCAGTTGTCATTCATTTCAGTTGTCAGTCTATACATCTGATACATCAATTCAGTTGTCAGTCTATACATCTGGTAATTCATTTCAGTTGTCATTCATTTCAGTTGTCAGTCTATACATCTGGTACATCATTTCAGTTGTCAGTCTATACATCTGGTAATTCATTTCAGTTGTCATTCATTTCAGTTGTCAGTCTATACATCTGGTACATCATTTTAATTGTCAGTCTATACATCTGGTACATCATTTCAGTTGTCAGTCTATACATCTGGTACATCATTTCAGTTGTCAGTCTATACATCTGGTAATTCATTTCAGTTGTCAGTTTATACATCATTTCAGTTGTCAGTCTATACATCTGGTAATTCATTTCAGTTGTCAGTCTATACATCTGGTACATAATTTTAATTGTCAGTCTATACATCTGGTACATCATTTCAGTTGTCAGTCTATACATCTGGTAATTCATTTCAGTTGTCAGTCTATACATCTGGTACATCATTTCAGTTGTCAGTCTACATACATCTGGTACATACATTCATTTCATCAGTCTATACATCTGGTACATCATTTCAGTTGTCAGTCTATACATCTGGTACATCATTTCAGTTGTCAGTCTATACATCTGGTACAGTTGTCATTTCAGTTGTCAGTCAGTATACATCTGGTACATCATTTTAGTTGTCAGTCTATACATCTGGTACATCATTTCAGTTATACATCTGGTACATCTCTGGTACATCATTTAACCAGGTCAGTCTATACATAATTTTAGTTGTCAGTCAATACATCTGGTACATCATTTGAGTAACCAGTCAATACATCTGGTACATCATTTGAGTTGTCAGTCTATACATCTGGTACATCATTTTAGTTGTCAGTCTATACATCTGGTACATAATTTTAGTTGTCAGTCAATACATCTGGTACATCATTTGAGTAACCAGTCAATACATCTGGTACATCATTTGAGTAACCTGTCTATACATCTGGTACATCGTTTCTGTTGTCAGTCAATACATCTGGTACATCATTTCAGTTGTCAGTCTATACATCTGGTACATCATTTGAGTTGTCAGTCTATACATCTGGTACATCATTTTAGTTGTCAGTCTATACATCTGGTACATCATTTGGTACATCATTTCAGTTGTCAGTCAATACATCTGGTGTCAGTCTATACATCTGGTATTGATCATTTCAGTTGTCTAGTCTATACATCTGGTACATTCAGTTGTCAGTCTATACATCTGGTAATTCATTTCAGTTGTCAGTCTATACACCTGGTACATCATTTGAGTTGTCAGTCTATACATCTAGTACATCATTTTAGTTGTCAGTCTATACATCTGGTACATCATTTTAGTTGTCAGTCTATACATCTGGTACATAGTTGTCAGTCTATACATCTGGTACATCATTTCAGTTGTTTACATCTGGTACATCATTTTAGTTGTCAGTCAATACATCTGGTACATCATTTGAGTAACCAGTCAATACATCCGGCACATAATTTTAGTTGTCAGTCTATACATCTGGGAATTCATTTCAGTTGTCAGTCTATACATCTGGTACATCATTTCAGTTGTCATAATTTTAGTTGTCAGTCAATATACATCTGAGTTGTCAGTATACATCATTTCAGTTGTCAGTCTATACATCTGGTACATCAGTTTTTTAGTTGTCAGTCTATACATCTGGTACATAATTTTAGTTGTCAGTCAATACATCTGGTACATCATTTGAGTAACCAGTCAATACATCTGGTACATCATTTGAGTTGTCAGTCTATACATCTGGTACATAATTTTAGTTGTCAGTCAATACATCTGGTACATCATTTGAGTAACCAGTCTATACATCTGGTACATCGTTTCTGTTGTCAGTCAATACATCTGGTACATCATTTCAGTTGTCAGTCTATACATCTGGTACATCATTTGAGTTGTCAGTCTATACATCTGGTAATTCATTTCAGTTGTCAGTCTATACATCTGGTAATTCATTTCAGTTGTCATTCATTTCAGTTGTCAGTCTATACATCTGGTACATCATTTGAGTTGTCAGTCTATACATCTGGTACATCATTTGAGTTGTCAGTCTATACATCTGGTACATCATTTTAGTTGTCAGTCTATACATCTGGTACATAATTTTAGTTGTCAGTCAATACATCTGGTACATCATTTGAGTTGTCAGTCTATACATCTGGTACATTCATTCAGTTGTCAGTCAATACATACATCTGGTACATCATTTCAGTTGTCAGTCTATACATCTGGTACATCATTTCAGTTGTCAGTCTATACATCTGGTAATTCATTTCAGTTGTCAGTCTATACATCTGGTAATTCATTTCAGTTGTCAGTCTATACATCTGGTACATCATTTTAATTGTCAGTCT